ACTGGCAGTATAACAAACAGTCCTTAGAGGCTGTATGGGGTATGACACAACAGGTCTTGGGTAGCCTACATCCGAAGAACAAAGTAAAAAGGAGTTGTCAAAATGAGTGAGGGAATTAATGAGTGGCATCATTCTCAATCAACAGAAAACACAGAGATGAAGCGACATGGAGTTGACTTTATCCCACTTCAGTATAGACACTAATGATGTAATTCTGAGAGTGTAAACATTGATTCGAACTGATTTAAGTTCAAGCTATGGCATTCCTCCTCATCGTCAAGGCGTGCATTCCCTCCTACTGCCCTGAGATGCTACCAGTGATCTTTCCACAACACAATCAATCAGTTGAGGGAGCCAGCCCAGCTGAAAGTTAAAGCAGTGGCACATTTTCAGCCAGATCGGGGTCCTAAATCACTGAGTGGTTGCAAAAGCCAGCCTGAAGGAGGCACAGAGGTCACAGGCATGGCAGGACCATGGCAGCCTGGACCTAGATTGGTTTAAACTGCTACAGAACTGTACATCCATCCCCTAAAGCAGACTGTCTGTGAGGCCTGTAAGATAGAAGTCTAAGCACATATAAAAGTCAAAATATGCTCATGTGAAAGTATTAAAGTTTTGGTCCTATTCAACCCATTTAAAATAAGCCACTTTGTAACTGAGAAACAAACTTTTTTTTTTTTTTTCCTACTAAATAATCACTTCTTTGTAATCCTGTGGTAATTTCAGAAAGCGTAAAATGGGCTAAGAGAGCATTCAGGCTGTTGGATCTAATTTTATTCTGACAAACCTGTCAAAAACTTTAAGAGATGGCAGTGTGACAGGTAGGCAGGCTACCTAAAACAGTTACATACTGAGCATCTGTAGCTCAAACTGTACTGCTTTAACTGTTTACTAAAACTTTTTTTACCCCTACCTATGGCCATCTGATTACCATACACATTTCCAAGACAAAATGAAATGTATTTTTTGGCATTTAAAAATCAAGGTGATGAAATAAAAGCATACAGATGAATGAATTAAATATCAGGAGAATACAAATAAAGCAAACCTCAAAGCACTTTCAAAATGAGCCACAGAAGCCTTCAGTTTGACCTCTGATATCCATATATCCGCTGCCATGTTTCCTGTGTGATAATCTATTTTGTGACACATGCTTATGCATCAGAGGTCAGAACAGCTACGAAAAGTCGAGCTGAGATTTAAAGAAGTGATGTTTGGCATCTTTAGTTTGTGTTAGACCAGGTGGAAGCTGTTGGAAGAGCATTTTGATTTAACAACTTCTTTTGTAAGCAAAGGAAAACATTGTGGAACCAAGTTCTGGTGACGGTGAATAAATACTTCTCCTCCATCAGACCAAACATTTTCATTTGTCATCGTAGTAGCTAGGGGTAAAAGATTTGAAGAGGTTTTGTTCCTAGATGGACTCAGAAATAGTTTAACTGTTGATTTATGGGGGTTGATTATTGCTGACGTTACAGCTGGAGTACTGCAGCACACTTTGGGCACTATACTTCAGAACACCGGATGTATTTCTAAGGAAAGCAACTAAAACGTGGTAAACATGACCTCTGTGGATGAGCTGACAGAAGTGGGGGCTTGCTCAGTTAAAAAAAAAAAAAAAAAAAAAGAAAAAAGAAAGAAAGGAAGGAAGGAAGAAAGAAACAACATTGACAAATCTGGTTTGTAAAAGACTGTAACAAAGGTGAGCACATACTGGCTTTGGAACTACTAACAGTCAACCGAACACGAGACCGAACAAATCTGTGGAAGAAGATTCCATCACGTTAAGCTGACAGCTGGCTCGAGGAGTCCCTGAGACACGAATTGTTGCAAATTAGCTCATCATTACATGAGCTCCTTTCTCCTGCTCTTCCCTCAGCAACTATTAGCCCATGTCACAGACAAGATCCCAGAATAGCCCAACCCTTTACTGACCAAGTGCCTTTCTCACACTGTCCTCTTTGTCAGATGACGGGCTACACAGAGAAGTGTTAATTCTAAATAGTACTTAACCATGGGAACAAGCCACTTGCAGAGCAACAGCAGCCCTTCACCAAACAATTTAAAAGAAGACAGACAGTTTAGTATGCTTGAGCCTTTGTTTCTCTTTAAAGAAAATAAAAGAAAAAAAAAGGTAGACAACCATATTACAAAATTCAATATAGGCTAACAATTCTACATACTCCATCATTTTTATTTTTATTTTTTAAACTGGTAAAGAGATTAGTAAGACAATTGCAAATTCTGCTGTCCAGATGCACATAAAATTTCAATGCTGTAAACAACCAGCCTGGTCACACAAATGTGCACAGGGCAAAGTCTGAAACCTCAGTAAAACTGTCTGCTCTACCAAATTTCATCCTGTACTTTTATAATAAACTGCAAGAGTTGGTGATCTCTAGTAATCTTCTGTCAGGAGTCAGCATCCTCATGACTGAAACCAACAGCCGAAGCCCTCATGTTTGCTGATCCTACTTACGACTGACACGGGCACATTCGACTCTATTTGAAAGATTCTGTGTTGCCTGTAATATCCAACATATGCTTCTATTACACCAGTGCTACATTTCCGTCATGAAGACATACACTAAGAAAAGGAACAATTAATGGCTTTGCATCATAGATCTTTGTCCTCGTTTAAGCCTAGCTATAGCTGTAGCTGTAAAACCACGCAACATAGAAAACGTAGTGCTGGATTGCAATCCAACTGAAGAAGCAAATACTGTCTTTGGAGTGCCTTCCAGGTACATGGGAGAAAAATAAATTATTTAACACTAAATAATTACTTTTTTCTTTACAACTTCACAGAGCTGCTCATCAGAAACGGAATATGCAGTTCTTGTTAGAACGTGATGATTGAAGGAAGACATGCTTCATGTGTTGTAGACTGTTAGCCAAATTCTTACACAGGGAGAATATTAAATAAATTAAAATAAACGACCCAATAGCAGTTATATATAGATGTGATGGAGGGAGAGAAAGCAAGTGAACCCAGATGTTCAAATATACAACTTTTAAGACTGCATTAAGTAAGACCATGCAAATCAGTTAAATTGCTTGTACAAAATCTCTCTGTTCAAGTAGAATCAGAATTTGCTCCAAAAAGTCATACTTTGATCATAGCCATCTCTAATGTCAAGGCTGTAATTTTACAGTACGTTGTCATTGCCAATAATGTAAATGTGAGCAATCCTGAGCCTCATGTCAGCAGCACAGAATGTGCTGATACAGCTGTTTGGAGGTAAATGCTGTAAATTGCATCATTAAAATAAACAAGGTGAAAAATAAGCCCTAAATTTTTTTTTTTTTTGACCAAGCGGACTCAGTGGGCTGATTAATAACATGGCCACAAAAACTTTTGCTGACCCAGCTGATGGATGAAGGCAAACAACGAATGGTGGATGGGGCTTCTTAGACCAGTTTCATCACTGAGACCAGCATATTATAAAAATAGATCCCATGTGAGCTGCCAAGGTCTTTTTTTTCCAGGTCTTTTGCTAAGGACTGAAGCAAATGAATAAAGAGCTAGTGACTCTTACAGAAGTTAAATCTATAACCTATTTTAGTAGCAGTGCAAAACATTCATGCAACTGCTGCTATTATCCAAAACTGTGAAGCAAGATAACTCATATCCTAAACCTGATGATGTTCCCAAGTTGGTATCATAGCCAACTACAGTGTGAACTAAGATTTGGTTCCTGTTGGGAAAGTTTAGGTGAAAGAAGTATCAGTTTGGGGATACACAATATCAAATCATGGGATGTCCGTGCCTGAGCTTGTGGAAAAATGCTAATGGACCAAACAGGCAGCCAGAACAATTACCTAGGAACAAAAAATATCTGGGCACTTAGTGAAGAATCAAGGATCTCAAGTCAAGGATGAGGAAGACTTATTTTTCAGAAGCACAGGCAATGCTTCAAACACTGCTTAACCAAAGCAGTTGTTTGAGTTTTAATTGCTTACCACAGAGAAAATAAAAAATGGTTTTCATCATCTTATCCTAACCTTTATGGATCTAGAGAAGAGTATATCCTACAACTAAAAGGAGTCTTAGCTTCTCAAAATACTATGAGAAGAATATTCCCTGCCCCCCTCTCCCCAGACACCATCCATTTAGCTTCCAGTCACTTACACGTAATTAAGGGCACAAATACGGTGTTACTGGTTAATGAAGGGTGTCAGAATATTCTCTTACCCAAACCTGTCTGTCAGGGGAAAGACAGGCATTATATTGTGAAAGAACAGCATAAATCACATACAATCTTCTCTATAAATTGATATTTGCCTATTTAGGGTTTGTGAAAAAAATATACTGAGCATTCACACAGAATCATTGAGAGAAGAGAGGTTGAAAGAAAGCACACATTTCCTGACATATGGTCAAGAGTCCCACCCTACCCTGCTGACCTTCGTTAGCTTCCCCACATCCCAAGACAGCATCCTAGTAAAGATATTGCTCTGAACCACTTGCTTCTCCACACCCTGTATTCTATAAAATCAGCAAGCTCAAAGAGGCAATAAATACCCTAAGTAACTGATGAGGCATTTTGTTACTGGAAGTTTATCCAGGTCCACGTACATAGAGGTCCATACAAACAGGCTGTTCTCTCACCAACAGAGGCATGAGACCTTTGTGTCACTTTGTGTCTGAGGGCAAAAGGAAGAGAAGGCAGTAAAACCATTCCCTCTGTGAGGTGACCATCTGCCATATCCGTTTGCTGCTCCTCGTAAAACACCTCAAAGAAAAAACTACTCACATAACCTCATATCAAACATCCAAACTTAGGTGTCCACCAAGTTACAAGACCTTTCCAAGTTACCTTAGAAAAGTCTTGTTCTCTCATGGATCTTAATCACACAGGTTGTGTGACCCTTGTGATCTAAGGAAAAATGGAAGAACATTAGGGAAGAGCAAATATACTATTAAAATACCATAGATGTTGTCAGCTTTGCTTTAAGAAAATTACTTCAAGACATAAACAAAAATGTGCAAGCAATCATTATATCAAAATCAAACGTTATATTAAGGTTCAATTTATAAAAGGTTAACAAATAATTAATAGCTGTTTTAATAAATTGCTATTTAATTCTCATCTATTATAAATCCAACAGATAGCTTCTACCTCTTTATAGTACGTTCTACTGATACGCTTAAAACCCTCCCTAACATGTACTACACCTTTCTAACATGAATTACAACATTTAGGAGTCATTTATTAACCCTTCATAAAATTCTCTATAAACCTTAATATGAAGCGTGACCAACTTTATCCTATTTCAGCCCCATGCCCCAGGACACATAAAATACTAGTTCTTCCAAGTTTTTTCTTTAAACTCTAGATTTTAGTTGGGAGCTTCACTACCCACAGAATCACAAATGCCTGTGGAGGCTTAACCAACTCGCTGCAGACATGAAAATTGGTAGAAGATGATCACAGGGAACAGTTCAGGTTCTTCCTTTTTTGTTGGAACTAACATACGCTACCATGACAACTATACCAGAAAGCAAAAGACGGAGTCTGTTGTAATTCAATACATTGTTTTTCATTCTTTTTAGAAAAACAACAACAGCACATTATGATACAAATAAATAAAACAGAAAACACTAAGGTAAATTCCAAAACTCACCACTAAGATCTTAAAAAGGCAGCAGCCACCTGTTTGGTGGATGCAGCCTACATTTGTCTTACCTGCAAATTTTCAATATTCTTAGAAGTCCCATTTAGTGTATCAGACTTAGGGAACAAAACATATCACATTTAGGTCTCCAATTGTTTTTCCCACCCAGTAATTTCATCTTTAAACCCCCACCTTATATTTTTTTTCTACCAAATTGCCTGCTGTTGGTTTAACAAAGTTCAGCTCAGACTTATACATTTCCTTCACTTTCAGAGCCTCTACCTTCATTCTCACAATCTTCCACAAGGCCTTCATGCTCTTGCCTCTTCTCTTCCTCCTTTTCCTCCTCTTCCTCTTCCTCCTCCTCCTCCTCATCATCATCTCCAAAAGTCTGTTCTTGCATTGTAGTAAAAGTGAAAGACCTGGCAGCAACTTGTGCAGCCAGACCAGATGTGAAGTTAAAATCTGTTGATATGTGGAGCTGAGCCAGCCTATGCTTTATTTTTGAATGCAATGCATCCTTAGAAGGAGGCTGTGAAACCTCTATTACATCCGTATCGCTTGGCTTGAGATCTTCAACTTCCCCTTCATACTGATAACACATTCTTTCTTCAGCCCCTGTAGAAATACCACCTTCAGTAGTACTGTCTTTGTTTTTCTCCATCTCAGGATCTTCATACAAATATTCTGTCCTGCTTTTATCAGCAGCATTCACTTTTGGATTAGAGTCTATTTCTTCAGATTTATCACAACTTTGGCTGCAGTTCTGCTTTTCTGTATCTGAATTCATGTGTGATTCCAAATTACTTAGTAGCTTCAGCGATTCTACAGGAGACAAGGGTTTCACTGCAGCTTAAAAAGGGGAAAAAATGAATTGATAACTAAAACCAAGCTGCTATATATAAATAATATTTGTGTTTGAAAAGGTGCAAGATTGGAAGAGTCAAAATGGATAGAAAAACCAACAAAACAAAACACAACAGTAACAAAAAAACACAAATCAAAGAAAACCTAAAATAAATCAGTGTTTTCTAACCACAGAGCTGAAATGAAATGTGATAGCTGCTTGTTGGAACTAAGCCTTAAAATTTGTGATATAAAAAGATGGCACGAAATTGATGATGTTCAAAAATGGCATCAAACACAGACGATGCATTCAACGTCAAAGTAAAAAACTACTGCACTGCATACAGATTTGAACTGTCTTTGTTTTAGACAACGGTTTACCTAATCCAATAAAGACAGCTGGTACATGAGACAGTCCTTATGTGCAATATCTGATCTCACATCACAACATACAAATACAACACGTATTCATACAGCCAGGTAAGGTGTCCTCACAAATAAAGTGTGGTTTAATTTAGCCTCTCTTGAAGTTAGTAGCAGCAGCGAGTCCCATTGCCAGCAACGGGATGCTTGCCAGGAAGTCTCTCCTCCCAGTGTTAAGGGTTAGTATAACTTGGTACAATCACTTCTTGAAGAACAGACGTCTTTCTTTTAAAGAAAACGATATAATGTCCATTTCCAAGTAACAGATTCCCTAAACTGCAGTAGCTCCATTAGAGTAGCAGCACGAACATAAATGAGAGCAGCAACAGCAGATTCCCAAGAGGCATTTCCCTTTCTAATTCCATTCTGACTTTACCCCTGTAAGCAGAGATGAAAATAACTCTGGGAAATACGCAAACTTTTCACGGGAAACAAAATTTACGGTATTAGGATTTTTCCATTGCATCCTATTGCAGCAATATTTATTTTAGCTAGCTGAAGGCAGGTGCATCATTATGACTGTCACATTGATCATTATTTTCACGAGCACACTGAATGACTATGTCTTAGAATTTGTATTGTATTGTTTGTTTTAAAAACTCATATACCAAAGGAGTACTCCACCATACTCATCTCAATTATTAACAGAACAGCTTTCTCCTTCTCTTGCATTAAAAAAGACAAATAACAAACCAACAAAAAGCAAATGAAAACAAAATCCTGCCACTCATTTCTGCCTGTTTGCTTGAAGAGGCAGGAATACACACAACAGTATTATCATTTGGGAGCAATCCTGTTGCCTACTGCCTTCAAATAACAGTTCCAAAGCCAAAACTCTAGAAACAGACACTTCAGGTTGGCTGCTGGGCAATTGGTTGAATTGATTAGTTAATAAACAAGGTGGAATTCACCTATTTTCAGAGTATAGCTTTCCAAATACAGAGATGAGAAAAACTGGGAAAGAGTTTTATAAGAACTGTTGCATGGAAAAGACAGGAGATGGGTAAACAGCTGGGTGCAACACAGCCACAGAATGAAATTTTGGTGGGGGGCGAGGGGCGAAGAAAAACTAGATGTGATTTTGCACCAGAATAATGCTGTTTGATATTGTCTGATAAATTAAAACAAATCCCCTAGTAACTTTATGGACCTCTTCAAAGGTACCTCTGTTTTTCTGGTTCAATGGGACGCCCAAGGACCAAAAACAGAAGTGCGTCAGCACCCCAACAGGTAACTGACTGCCCAGACTGTAAGCATTATTACCACTGGTGCTAGGCTTGGGCACATTTGCTTTAGTGTGGTATTTTACTAAGATTTTTTCTTCTGGAATACAGCCTATCATCTGTAGTTGACTTCATGCTGCGTTCTTTGGGCATATCAACTTGTTGGGAGCTGACCTCTTTTATGTAGAAACCCTCACCAGCCCAGCCCCTTATGGATGAACCAAAAACCTAACAAATCAAAATGTCTTGCTAGGTGCCAAAGGCTTTAGCCTTAGCATCTTCAGGGATCTTTTTTCACAACAATTGCAAGTTAGGAGAATGCATGATTTCTGGAATGTGACTGTCCTGTAAAAGCAAGATTTAAGAGGATGATGGAAAAGGGTCCTATCAAAACCATCCACTGGCCTGGGCCAATGCAGACAAGAATACAAACCTTTCTGGTTTAATTCTTCAAGATAAAGCCAACCATCAATATGGGAAGCACAGCCCACAAAAATGTTTTTTAAAGGAAGGACCCATGTGTACAGATAAATTAATGTCTGCAGGAGAGACATGTCGGGGTCCATAATGTCATATTTAACTGACTTGTGTTTCTTTTGAAGAAATAACAAGGAAATTCCTTAAATACAGCAGAAGATGTTATGTCTGCTGTCCGTATCAATATTTCAGATTAAGATATACAGAGTCTGAGACAAAAGGTGACAATATTAATTATTTTCACAAACTGTCCTTCCTCATATTTTCAACTTTTGTACAGTGTGGAAGAAATCTGTGATTAGTCCCAAGCAGCTGAAGGAACTTTCCTCCCTCCCCACCACAGAATCTCTAATCCTATAACAATGTAATATTTATATGTGAAAAGGAAAGGAACCAACATGAGCCACAAAGGCTTTCAAGGGAACAGTTACTCGAGATTATAGAAGTCAGCTGACTCCTCTTTCAGCTGTTGCAGCTGTTCAGGTAAGCCAGTCTCTTAATTTCTAGAAAGCTATGGCCACAAATGGCCTGGAGATAAACTGATGTGGACAGGTATCAGCTGCAAACCTAGATAAGGAAATATCCTGTGCAAGCTCTCCTAACAAAGAACTCTTCTGCAACAGTTACTAGATCTGTCAAGACATAACCGGAGGTAGGATTCCTCCCTTCTCCTTTCAGATGACATAAAGAGAAAAGTTGTGAAGCACATCTATTTTTGTGGGCTTGATGTCAAAAGAAACAGTCTTTGTTACTTTGGGCTTTGTTTCTTCTGTTACTGTGTGTTCCCACTAAATTACCAAAGGATGTAATCGATGGTCTTTTTATCTGGTAAGCACTGGCAGAGGCAGTGGATATACTGCCAAACTTGAGGGTTGTTTTTCTTGACATAGAACAAGAAAATTTTTAGAGGGTTCTTCCTAACCTGTCTGTAGAAGGAAGCAATGAAAATGGGGAAAAGAACAGAAAAATGAAAAAAACACTACCAATTTTAAAGATAATAAATCAAGCAGCTCAAGCAGCAAAAGCAATCAAGTTGTATCCAGTCTTGTTGCTGGAACTGACACAGGCTGTCCTGCTCAGGCAAGAGAAATTTTCGTTTTCTTATCTTTAAGTTCAAGTGGATGGCGCTACCCAGCAGTCCTCAGAAAAGAGTAGTTTGGAAGAACTCTTCCTGTTAGTATTATTTAACTTTTTTTTAATTTTTTTGAAAACATATTCTGCATGCTCCCTCTTCTGTGAAACAGAAGCACATCTTAGTCTTTTATGAGCCTTTAATATTTCAAAGTCTAGCTCTTCGCTTTAATCTATCCATTTTGCTAAATCTACGATAATCTGATAGTTTCTTTAAATCCTGAAAAATAACTTATTTATGAATCCAATTTAAAATTCATATTTACTGGAAAGTGATGAGAGAAAGTCAGTTCGTTTTGTATGGTTTATAAACTGACAGTTCTTTTTATGCTGTGCATAATAGCTCTAGCTCAATATTTTTGTTTGGAGCCAAATTCACATTCTTTTGAGTTCCTTTCAATATATAGTAAAATGATTGCTACAAATAATATAAGGAGATGGAATAAAAAACTAAGGCCACATAGCTCTACCAGATACACTGCTATCGCTGAGCACTATCTGAATTCTAACACAGTCGGAAGTTGATGGTAAACAGACACCTACCCTGTCTTAGAAAGGCATACATTTTCAAAAGCAATGCTTACCATGATCGCTGAATAGCAGCTGTTTCCATTTCTGTCTTTCTGCTTCTGAAGCTTTAAAACCCAGTACAGATTTCAATTCTTGTAACACCCTTTTAGATTCTTCTCTCTCTCGTTTTTGTCTCTCTCTCTCTTCCTGGGAAAAGCAATCAAAAGCTTCCCTATTATATTCATTGTCCATATCTGAATAATCAACATATGCTTCCAATTCCTGAAAAAAGAAAAAACATATTTTTAATCTTCACTTGTACTTCACACTGTACTTCAAGCTGTTGCATGACCAAGTGATCTCAACACAAGACAACTGCAGTAGAAGGATAGAGCCTTGTTTGAGCAAAGCCAGTGTATCTGACACCACTCTCAGTTATATAATTTTGGAGTGAGTCCACTCATTTAAAGTGGACTAAAAACCTTACTCCAGTCACCCAAGATTCAGTTTCTTATACAAGAATGACCAAGTGATATACCTTGAAAAAGGGAGTCCGCAATGACTGGTGGAAATAAGCAATTCTGATTTGTTTTGTTTTTATTTAATTCACACCATAAGCAATTCTTTCTCAGACAGGCATTATGCTAATTTAAGTTATACCAACCATGCCTCCAAATTTAACTACTATGGTTCACAAACATGAAGAAAAATGAACTCCATTTATGTTATGATAGACAGCTGGTGAAGTTGTTAGTTCCAGGTCTTTGATAGGGATAAAAAAACCTAGAGAGAAAACAAGTGAGGTAGGCTTGATAGAGGGAAGGGAGGGAGGGGGTGAGGGAGGGACAGAGCAGAACATGGGTGTTGATCTGCTTGCAGAATGTGTCACTCAGCTTTAGGATAAAGACAAACCTCTCTTCAGGACAGCCCAACCATTACACAGCAGTTTCCCTGGAGTGGGGAAATGACACAAAGCTGTCCAGCATCACGGTCTGGTTTAGGTACCCAAAAATGCACACAATACACAAACTGAAGACAGGCTGGTTTGTTCATGAGCTTCTTCCTTGTGCTACTGTATCAGCTCAATAATAAGCAAGTAGGACTTAATTTTATGTACTGCCTTTCAGCAATTCACATTTTCTCTGTGTTACTCTGTGTTGCTGCTCTCCTTTTCTCAGTTATTTTTAATGATATATATATAAGAACAAGTAAATACTGGTGCTCTTTTTTTTTTTTTTTTTCCCCCCAGTATGGGGAATACATCCTCACTGAACATCAGGGGGAAAAGACATCAATTTTTTCATTTAGTGCAGTTATGAAATTGCACTGGCTACCTACTTGACCTGCCTTGGGAAGACAAGGTCACTGCACAAGCAACTGAAAAGGGGATGGATATAGAAAAGAAGCTCATCACTGAAAATAACCTTTTTTTTTTTTTTTTTTACCTGTTCTTCAGGGATTGGATCTCTGTCTTCTATGTATATGGTAGGCTGCATTAAAGGTACTGTAGTATGCTGTAGGTTGTCACAGAAAGCTTCAAGCTTGCCTTTAGGGGAAAGAAAGGAATGAAGAAAAAAAAAGGAAAAATTTTGAGTGTTGAGTGATAATTTTGACTCGCTCAGGAAGGGTCCAAGTCTTTTCACTAGACAGGATTGGCACATATGGAAAAATAGTCAGAAGGTTGGTTAGAATACATTGAAACACTGTGTTAAAATAGCTAAGACTTAACTGTTCTCTGATATAAGCTGGGTTTCATGAAACTCACCTTGAAATACTTCAACTAACAGATGTCTTTTTTTTTTTTTAATGGACTCTGAAAGCCTGCAGAAGGCAGGCAAAAATCTGTAAAACCAGAAAATAGACTTGGTGCCCAAGTTTAAAGGCAGAAGTAAAACATGAGATCACAAGTTATAGACAAATCAGCTTCAAATAATTGGAAAATACTGGAAGAAAAAAGCAAAACTTATAGAAAGCTACTTGGAAGGCAGCAAGGCGGTAAATGATAGCCAGTGTGGGTTTATTGAGAACAGAAGATGTGAAACCTTCCAATATCCCTTTCCAATATAGTAACGAGCCTTATAAATACAAAGAAGCCAAAGACATCCTGCATTTTGTTTTCAGTATGGCTTTTGACATGCTCTCATTACATACTTTTAAACAAAACACCTAGGCTAGAAGAAGTTGCTATTAGGTGTTGTTTATCTCGCAGATAAACAACACAGTTACAATTTTCAGACAGGAACAATACATTTAGTGAGGATTTGCCCCAAGTCTTCCACAGTTCCAATGGATTAAAAACAAAAACACAAAAACCACCACACACCAAAAGTGTTTAATCTAATTAAATTGCTGCCACAGGGATGACCTGCAAGAATATTGATGGGCAGAATAGAAAAATAATACTGGAAAATTAGAGACACCCCAGGAAGAATTGGATTTCAGATACAGAGTCCAGTGAAGTTGGCTGTGACATTTTGTGCCTTTGAATAGTCAGCTGCAGAAATATATGACTGACCAGGCAGCAGCACTGAGAAAAAGATTTGAGGAAGCTAGTCGATTATACCCTGCTGCAAGCAACAAGCCAGACTACATAATAGTACATACGAACAGCAACACGGATTGTTAGACACAGGAAATCACTTTTCTGCTCTGCTTGGCACTGATCAGGCTGTGGATGGAACATTGTGCCCAGGCTGAGGCTCCTCCATTCAATAATCTCGTAGACAAGCTAAAGGGCGGCTGGAGAAAAACAGCTGAAATGATCAGAGGGCTACATAAAGTATGACCATCATAGATTTGAACGATACAGGGTTATGCAGAGAAGACAGAAATGTTACCAGTTGTCTTCAAATATGTGAGAGAGGGCTATAAAGAGGAAATGGATTTCAATTGTGGGTGGATCAAAGGCACTGTTGTTTTTTTTTTTAATTGCAGCAAGAGATATTCATATTCAATACAAGAAAAAACTTCTACTTGTAAGGAGACTTAAGTGCTGCAATAGATGCCCGGAAATACTGTAAAATGTCCCTAAAGAGAGGTTTTTAAGAGCAGGCAAACAACATTTACTCACACATGGCACAAGTACTAATTTACCCCTGAGAAGAGAAATGGGCTAGGTAACCTTGCCAAATCCCAGCTGTCCTTATTCTCAGTTCCTTATCTCTGTATTGAACACTTAGGGATGGTATTCTGAAAGTAGGCAGTCACATTAACAATGACTCTACTGGTGCCCAGTTACCTGCTTTTGCACACAAGGAAAATATTTGATTCCCTAGTTGCTCTGGTTGAGCTGAAGATTTGACATCCCAGATGTATCTAAATGCAGCGATCATTTATAAGAAAGAGGAAGCACATAGTGAAATGTACAGTGGAAAACTGACACGAGATAATTATTTCACAAATATCAAGATGATTTGTCCATTACATAACCATGCCTTGGAATAAAAACATTTTAATAGTAACAATAATAGCAACAATAAAAATATGTTTCTGAAGGCATGAAGACAAATTTTAAAGAGTAATATGGAAGTTACCAACAAAAACTTGCCTTCTTAAATCAGAAAACAGCTGCTCTAGTATGTACAGGCTACTGTATTTGCCATCTGTATGGGAAGATAACATTTCTAAGGATATGTTTCAAGATCATGAATTCACAGTGTTTAACTAGAGTTGCTGTTTTAGTTTCTCTCCAATGGATCAAAGGACTGCAAGAACCAGGAGCTTGCAACAGAGTATTACGGCAAATATAAAAAAGTTTTATACATTTGCAAATGTAGAGACAGTTTAAAAGGAAAAAAAAGATGGAATCTAAACACTTTGAGGGCCATTATTTCAAAAACTGTTACAACAACACTAACTAGCCATAAAAGGTGTTCTGAAAAAGTAACGGCAGATGATTGCATGCTTGAATCACTGAGGCCTCAAGTGATAAATCAGTTTCATGTCAGAAAAGAGGTGAATGGATACAGAGAAGCTGTCTGAAAGTCTAGAATCATGTAATGTTTAAAGTGAGTAGAGACTGATGTGTTTCTGTAAGTCTATCATTGCCCAATGCTTTCAAGTAGAGATGAATTCCCGTAAGGTTGCTAAAACACTGCTTCCTCTTGGGCTCTCTTCTGAATGTGACAGATCAGTGACTAACAGGACTGGTGGTAGAAGTACTCAGAGCCCTGTAAACAAAGTAGTCAAAGGACATTCATTACTACAGTGGCTACTATACCATACACTACAATACATGCCAGTTTCACCAGTCATGAAAGGCTGCTGGGAGCATCTGAATGTTCAATCAGTTAGACCTAAATGTCCTTGACAGAGTTTAACAAAAAGAATTATTTAATGTATCTGTAAGAAACCTGCTTTAACATACAATGATCTAAAGCAAGACGTATGAGATTCTTGACTGAGATCCATAGTTTACACAGAAAACAAAAATATGCAAAACTGCTCTGAAAATAAGCAACAGGCAGCTACCTAGGATGCCACAACTAGGACAGGTAACAGTTCAAAACAGTGGATGGAAACTTTCAATGAATAATTCAGCAGAAGTGTTTTGATGCTGGAAAGAGCAGCGAGTTCCCCATTTACTCCTCCCCACGGCGCAACACGGGCCCTTGGCTGCTGCAGCTGGTGGGCTGTGTGCTGTCTACTCCTTACCCATGCTGAGAGCAGCACGAACCAAGAAGGAAAAGCAAAGCTACATTTTTGCTCGGTACATAATTGTGGTAAGATCCAAACCCAAGGAAATAGTAAATTTAAACACTGCATACCCTTTGCAGTTTCAGATGAAGAAGCAAAAAGGAATGACTTTGTTTTAATACTAAGCACAATTATAAGTTATTGCTAAAAATATTCGCTATTTATAGCTTTTAAGTTATTCAATATTTCCTCTCAAAACTGAATCTAAACCATCAAGAACAGCTCTACCTTCATCACGGTTCATAACTGATGTTGAAAATGGCATTGCTACTCCTCTGCTATGGTCAGCTGAACTAAACACCATTAAATTTATTACACCAAAAGCATTGGGCATCCACTTGACACAGTGCTGTACTATGATAGGGTTCTTGCCACTGCTGTTGTAAAAATAATTCATTTGATTTTACATAACACTATGTAAAAACAAAAGATGTCCTTAGCTGGTATGTTATTTCATCTTCTTTCAAAGTGCTTTCAGGAAGCACTGAAGAAAGCCTCAGCCATAATTTAATGAAGTAATTCACATAATCATGACTGACAGACCAGCTGTTAAGATGCGCAGAAAGAGATCAGAAGAATTACACTTGATTTCATGCACACCTTGAAAAGTTCAACTCACAGAAGCCGAACTGCACAGAAATACACTAGGAAAGTCAAACGCAGCCACATAAAAACTATTTTCTCCAACCAACTTAATTTAAAAGTAGTTCACGTGGAGTAACTCAGTAAACTTGTTGCAAAATAGAGATTCAAACCCCACACATTTCCAGGAAAGTCACTGGAAAAAAAAAAACAAAAAAAAACAGAAAGTGAAAGATTTCTTTTTTTTTTAAAACTTCTCACAAAATCCCTTTTCTCTAAGTCATATACTAAGTCATTTTTTCCAAGACTTTAAAAGGAATCAAGTCACAAGAACAGTCCCTGCTGTGCAAATTCATACACAAGGTAAAAACATAACTAAAATAACTAAAAATACCATGGCATGTAGTCTAGAAAGAACATCTAAGAAAAGGGGAGAAAAACAGATCAGTGGAACTGCTGGTTGTGAAGGGCATCAACAAAACACAACAGGCTAATAAATGCAAAATATATCAGACTACATCCAATATCTTCACAGACTGTTTTACAGAACAGCGAGAGGAAATCACAAGACTGGACAATTAGGCAAAGTACACACAAATTCTGTTACACCATGTCTGGACCTGCATGGAACCCTGGTCTGTGTACAGTAGACTCGCCAGTGCTCCCAGTTCTGGTGAGCAAGGTCAGCTTGGACATCTTTTGGCCCACATAAATATTCATCCACCTACTGGATACACCACCTACATATAATTAAGATCTTAGCTCACTATAGTTTTGGATTTCTGTAGGTAACTTGTTGATATTTCCCAAGTCATAATTTTCCTAATGTGTTCTCAATTACCAGTATTATTCAGATGCTGAGCTGTACCTTTCTAGGCCAATAAAGACGCTCCCGTAAAAAAAGAAGATTAAAAATTATACCTTCAACTCTATGTCAGGAGAGCCTAAGCTCACTTCAATTACTTAAGCTAGATGCGATTCACAAGGATAACAGCATGAGCAGTACAGGGCACTAAGATAAGGGACATAAAGCAAAACTTTGGGATGTGCTGTTCACATGACTTCTAAGCACACAGATTAGCTCCCTCTCTCTGAGAGAGAAGGCAAAGAGGCATTATATGCTCAATACGTACTCTGCACTTCAAAATGTTTCAGGAAATGTCAATGTCAAGAAAGTTTTATGATGAGGCAATTGTTAATTTCAACTACCTAATTTTAATGCAACAAATACAAGAAAATCTCAAGAATGATTAATCAAAGTCCCACCCATTCAACATGTCATTCACCATTCATACGCAAAAAGCCACTCTTGGTCTACACTTAGAAATGTACAATGTGAATCCACACATCTAACAGACAGTTAGCACGCTTATAGTTTTTGCTGAAACAAAAGCTTCAAGGTCATCACAATGAAAAAGTCTGACACGTATATAGCTTTTCAAATTTTCAACATACATGTAGGTTTGCATAATTTTCAAACTGTATGTTTTTAAAACCTCTAGCTAAAATTCAGATATGCAGCCTGAATGCGGTTTTTGATCCATTTGACCATTCCATCTCTAATGTGTATTTCATTAGTTGCCAAATTAAACTCTCATATTTACCTTTTTTATTTGGATTTTTTCCACTCATTTTTTCCACCTGAGAAATGGCTTCTTCCCAGCAGCTGTTGCTTGCCTGCATATGAGGCTGAATAAACTTTAGTTTTTGTTCCAGAACCTGATGGGCTTCTGTTGTCAATTCAGGCGTCTCCTTAGTGCTAACAAGTTTTTCAAGTTCATCCTCAAGAATTATTACCCTAAGTAATAAAATGAGCAAAAATAAATAGTAATAAATATTTGACTTTACCATTCTTCAAGTATTTAATCTAATCAATATCATGTTATTTTCTTCAGCTTCTCAAGATCTAGTTTAGCCAACTCCTCAAAGATGCCCCACAGTTTTAAAAATAATATCCCTTTCTCCACATCAAGATACACTGTTCACCTACACTCATTACAGTAATTCTTAGAAGTAAGATTAAAAGTGTAGAACAGTTTCAACTATTTCACCAAGACAGTGATGACACTTTAAAAATACTTGCTATGTAGTTACTATGCGCCAAACTTCTATAGCATTTGGTATGTTACAAAATCAATGAAAGATGTTTATTGTTTTTTTTTCAGGGAAGTGACAAAAGCAAAGACATATTAATGCACTGATTCACTTCGATTTTGTCTCCAGATATCTAATGAATAACCAGGACACAATATCAGATTCCACATTGAACCAAGGCTCTTTAACTCAACTCTATGTGAAGATACACCTAGTAGGTGACGTAGCTGAAAGCTCAGACACAGCAACAGGCAGAGCATGAGAATGTAAGTGCTGAAATACTCTTTTAAGCACTGTTGAGAGAATTCTACTGTCAAATAACGTCTTTTAAAGTGGAGCGAGTGCCTTGGAAACCGACATCTTCAGTAGAATCAATTATGAACAGAAGAGGCATGAATTACTTGCAGTGACTAAAGGTATCTGCGTTTTTTCTTTCTAATCTGGGATATAAACTGACAACTCAGAGAACTTGAGTTAGAGGCCTTCTTCCCACAGGCACCTTCTCCTAATTCATGTGTAAACTTACTCATTCAGCAGTGCCTTGAGATGAAGCTGCAAGCTGCGTACTGCTGTCTGAAGGCTGTTCAACTCCCTCGACTTCTGCTTTGTCCTGGTTGGCCGCTCGAAACCTGACTGATGCTGAGTTTCAAAGTACCGATAAAACTCATAGCTTCGCTTTAGCTCCTCCAAGCAGGCAGCATGTGTATGAGGTAGGCCTTGAGTCACATCAGACAAGATATGATGAGGCAACCGTTCAGGGGAGATCAAGGGCTTGGGGGACGCATTGGCTGGCGAGAGGAGCAGTACCAGCCTCCTGAAGAATTCTGAACTCTGCCCTACCCAGAGCTGAAACAGAACCTGTAAAACAAGGTGAAGTTAGCCAGCTGCCAAAATAAATGTACAGATACAGAGTGCAAAAACATTCCTCGGCCCACCACAGCAGCTCTGAAAAACTGAGAAAATCCGCTTCACATTTTTGAAGGGTATCCCGGACCATGTGAGTTCAGATCTTGTGAACCTTAGGTGACTGTTAATTCTTTCATGAAATCCATTATATGCAATTATGTTCAAAAGGTTGTCAGAGACCTACAATTTCATATTCTCCCCAGGTAGTCTCATTATTTGCTATAATCTCCAAATACCCTACAGCTTACAAATAGCAGCCAAAATTCCAGTGGCACCAAAGGCATTTTCTCCTTTATAACATCAAGCTATCAGTTTTATGATCTACCTACTAACTACTGCCTTGGCCCACACCCAGCCTTTAAGCACGAGTCTGATTGCACTGTACTCCAACAAAAGCCATTCTACTTCTGGAGAAAGCTGAGCTGCTAACTTACTTTTTTTTCAGCCAAAGTGAGAAACGTCACCAATGTCATTAAGGGAGGGAAAGACCCAACACTATGTGAAGAGATGATTCAATTCACAATATTATATATGGTACAAAAGAGGTCAGGCAACTTGGAACAAGCAAACCCCAAACTTTGGTTTCTCAGAAACTTTCACTTCAAATGCAATGAACACAACTGTTCTTTATTTATGGAAGACCATTGGCTTTGTAGACCATGACAAAACAGTAGCATCTTATATCTCTAAAATAAAAGGATAGGTTATGACACTTTACTCTGCAATATCAGTCCTTATTAACAAGGATCAACTTCATCTAAATACAAGGTGTAGTCTAAACCTATTCCCAAGCATTCCAGACTGAGGAAGACAAAGTAATTACTCACCATGTCCTTTTCTCTGCTATGGAATAAGGCTAACAAATACTTGTTCAGATTTTTTTTTTTCAATCTACAGGACTTGCAATGAGATATATAAAACTTTGCACTCTTACTACTATTGACAAGTAACATTTTTTTTCAGTACAGAACAAGAGCAAAACACTCAAAACAGTAACTCAAAAAAAGTTAAATGCCTTCAGATCAACGCGGTCAGACATACCCAAGGATGTATCAAAACACCTGGATGTGAAGTGACAAAATATTCCAGGAGGAAAAAAATATCAATTAAAAAAACATGTTTATGAGAAGAAATAACAGTTTGAGATGAACTGAATGAAGAGCACACATGCAAGAATGATTTGGCTGGGTGTTAAAAAACAACAGCAACAAAAAAAAACACCACAAGCCAAGTGAGGTTAGGAAAGCAGGGGTTGGAGGAAGCAAACAAATTGGCAGGAATTACCTAAGTGTTTCTGAAGGTGTGGTACCTTGGATAAAGAGTCAAGAGCTCAGGTTATAACGCACACAAAAGACAACTAAACCCTTCCTCCAGACAGAACGCAAAAGCAGTAAAAAGGTAGCACACAAAAGTAGTGAACTTCAGGAAATGAAAACAACAACTCGAATTCCACCTGAAAAAAGGTACAAAGGATGAGAGAAAAGGAAATTCCAGATGTATTTAGGGTTGAAAATTGTTTGTTCTAGCCATAAATTTTGATGATCTTTATCTGTATTCAGACTTCACACAAAACATCCAACTGGTCTTCACAGCTTGGATCAGTATTTATTTTCAAGCCAAAAAATTTTACTCTTTAAACTGGTTTAGTTCAAGGACAAGGTAGCCAAAACACATAGGCTACACTGGTCACATTGCCTAGGCATGGGCTTGAACGAAAATAAAAATATTCACCAAATCTGATACATGTCTGTATTTTACCTGCATTTTAAAATAACGGAAAGTGCTCTCAAAGGCAAAAATAAATAAATAAATAAATAAATAAAAATAAAGAGGACTACACGTAGATCCTGGGCTCGCAATACAAATATGCCCCAAGGTTATCTAACTATTTTGTTACTACAGTACAAATCTGCTTAGATTTACGTTAATTTAGCTTGACTCAACTACACCACACCCAGCCTTCACCACTGTCATCAGTTAAGGCAAATTCCGATTTCTAGTTGTGAGTTTAACTCTACCCAGAAAGTATTCCATCCAGTTTAATTAAAACAGATTTCAGTGAAATTACTGCAAATTGCAAGTAAACAAAATCTTAGTTTACAAGCTTGGGCAACTCTAATTGACTTCTTGAGCTTAAAAAGAACTGGGTAAGTCGGCTTGCGTGACTGTAATTAGAAGTTCAGCTCATTAAAAGGCAAGAAAAAATCCCCCAAACTTACATCTGATGTAGCACATAGCTTACAACCAATTAGACAAAACCTCAAAGCTTTGCAACTACTAATGCTGGTACCATTTACGGTCAGGAGAAAAGAAATCAAGGCATAGAAATTACGTGAATAAAATGCAACAAGAGCCAACCTCATAAAAACAAAGAAGTCACATAATAATGGAATTTTCCATTAAAAAAGAGTACAATGGAACTGCCTAGGCACAGAACCACTAGAGCACAGAAGGTTTGCATTCAAATTAGATCTAATTGCGAACATTTACTCAAGCACATTAAAAATACTTAACATCTCAAAACAAAATAGATTAAAAAGGCCATTAAATGATTGTCATTCTGCTCAGTTAAACATCTTTTCAAAGATCAAAGAACTTCACGGGATCATGGCAGCAGGGGCCCAGATTTATACTTCTCTGTGTAGCCAAATGCATCTATTCCCTTTGACAATTACAACTAATTTACATCTTTGGATGTCTCTCTTTTTATCAAAGTCAAGTGATTAATTAAAAAGATTTAAGTACAAACCTGGAAATTATTTTATTTGTCTGGAATCATGTGAAATCAAAGAACAAAAGCTCAGGTTTGAGGAGAAGGTTGATCAAGCTGATTATAAAACACTGACTTGAATTTGTATGATTGACAGCAGAAAATCCTCATGTTGTATCGTGCAACTTCTCTTCAAATACATGCAAAAAGAAATCCCGTAATGCCAATACATGTAGAAACACATGATAGGAGACAAATTTTACTTCCTTCCTCAGTTGACTGTGTTTCTACAGGCTAGTATACACAAACCAAATGGCTTCATGACAATTAAAAAAAAGAAATCATGCTGAGCCATCGTGGATGTGCCTGTTCTTCTAGGAGAGATTACCTTGAGGGCGGGCAAGCTGAAGCCATCTGTGAGATTGTGTGCCTCCTCTTCAGACACCTGCTCTTCGCTCAGTCCCAGACCCAGCTCCTTGAAAGGGACTACACAGATGTAGCTGGTCACGTTGTCGCTCTCAGAGTTCAGCGGGTAGGTTTAGCCAGAGTTAAGGTGGGTAGCAAAGCAACTTTTGCATTAAAAACAAAAGGCATAAAAACAGCTAACAAGGTTTCTTATTTCTGGTAATTTCACAGAATCACACACATGAAAGAACACGTAATCCCTGTTTAGTTGAACCCAAATTGAACTTCTAATTGAACTTCTTCCAAACTTTCTTCATAGCACAGGTTTTAAAGGCTAAGAGAAGGATAAGACCTTGACTAAACATCCAATAATATGATAATATTAATAACACACTAAATACAATTACCTAAAAAGAGACAAATGAAAACATATTGATGAAAATCCCTGCATTCCTTTCAAGTTAGATTGCTTTAGCTTCAATTAGTAAATTCCCAACAATTAGATCATGTCAATCTCACAACAGAAATCATTATAACAGATGAGAGAGGAATACAACATTTGTGCAATTTGGAGTTTCAAATGTAGCCTACGTTATAGGCCAAACTCAGGACAACTGCAGGAATTCTCTGCAAGTCCTGCTTGTGGAGGGACTGCTTGGAGACCTTTGCAATAACTGTTCCTTGGTATTTCAGATATTACCATGAAGAAGAGCAGCTCCCAAGTTGTTATACTGTTAATTCAATACCAAAATTCCCAGACACAGTAAGGTTTCCTACAGCCAAAGCTCAATTATCTTTAACATATTTTGTGAGGATACTTGTGCTAATATTCCCATCACTTCACTCTGTGTGTCAGCAGTGACTTTGACATTTTATGGAGTAATTAGCTAAGAAAGGTGATGGAGCATGGCTTTGATCACCATGCCTCGTTACCTAGTTTACAGAGTAGCTTAGTTAATTTAGGCCCCAATCTTGATAATTCTTAATGATATATACAGTGCTGTTCGCCTGAGAAATCTCAGTAAATATGCATTTTAACAGACCTACCTATTCACACATAAAAATATAAGTACAAGAAAAAAAGTCAAGTCTTTCAATAGCACTTTTCTGCTGATGCTAGAATCTTAAAACCCATGTGGTAATTTTTTTACTATTTAAAAATACGTACTTTGCAACCCTCAAACTGTGGTGAAATGCTTAAAAAATAGGAAACAAGCATAATATGACTCTAATGCCAGAGGAACAGATAAAAACAATCCATAGACTAGGCAGCATTTCTTTTAGAATAGTGATGATTTTAAGTAAACCTTATGCTGGGGAAAGAGGAGATGGGACAGTTCAAGATTTCTGTAAAGTGAGAATAAATATCTAGTCAAAAAAAACAGTAAGATTTGCTTTAAAAATAATTTATGACTTACTGTCACAAGTACACCTTTGTTTCAAAGGAAAATAAAAGAAATTGCAAAGCATTCATGAAAATACTTCTAATTTAAACTATGTTATTTTCCTCTATGTTTTGGTTTACAAACTGAATACTCTCATCTCTTGGGTCACATAAAGCCCGCCAGAAGTACTTGTCTCTTGTCCAACTAATCTGATTTCTGGGGAAGCTACAAGTTCCACCCGCTTTCACTCCCAAATTTTCCACCTGCTAAGCTCTCATAGGATTCAACTTGCTGAAGAAAATATTTATCACTTGAGTAGAAGAACAGTGCATGAAGTGAATTTTTTGTGCCTCAGGAAACAGCAATACTATGTCTCCAGGCTCTGAACAAACAAATACATTTCTCCCTAATTCCTCCCAGAAGTCCAGGAAGAAAGACTCCTCTTAAGTGTCCTCCAGAAGCACGAATGCAGGTGAAAGCCTGCAATGCAATTGCAGGTTGAAGCAATGCAAATGACTCAGGAACACAACATGGTGTTGTCACCAGCTGCTGTTGTCACACGGTGGCGGCTGGGTCAGCTCTTCTAAATTAACCTGACTGCGTGCCCAGCAGATGGAGCACAGGGGATGAGGATGTTAACTCCACAAGAGATTGCAAAATCAGGTCAAAACCCTTCAGGACCAATTATCCTAGAGGTTGATAATATTCTGTGATAATCTTTCTCCTGCAACAAGTTATTTCCAAAACACAATGATCTCAAAAAGCAGTTTGAACACATGTTGATTTTCATGAAATCATGCTAAAAATCATACGGAACCTCTCAAACGGGTGGTTTGACCAAATGAGCCATTTATCCATAGTACATCTCAGCAAGGGATTCCCACCAAACTCCCATGTCTCCTGCCTTGTCCTCTTACTTCCAATCATTTTTGTTAAGAATATACATGTATTTCCTTAATGCACTTTGATCTAAACTGTAAGATGCCTCTCTTTTTATTCACATTTAGAGATTAGCTAAAAAGATGCAAGCAAATAAACTTACATAACTTAAATGTTTCTGTCTTTGAGGAAATACTTTATTCATCTGTTCAACTTATATCCCTTATAAGCTTGGAGCAAGGGAAGACAAAGCTACTTAATAAGAAACTGTCACATCCAAAATAAAATATCTGTACAATAAGTATGTAACCTCTGCCAGGAGGCTCATCTTAATAAAAAGCAACAGTACTAATGTACCCACGTACACAACAATTTCATATTAGTACTTTGCTCTTCAAAAGCACATCCTCTTCTAAAGATCTAATGATGGCCTCAAAGTATTCCTAAGAAACCCAAGCTGCTCTCTCATAAAATTCTCACCCGCTGGAAGGGATGAGCAAAGCATGTGATGAACTGGCTGGTCAACAGAAAACCATCTAACTGAAAAATTCTCATGCATCTTTGCTTAGACCTTCCAGAAGTGGATTTCTGATGTAGGCTTTTACAATCCAAGGACACTACAATTATATATATTTAGCTTGTATGAGGTTTTCCTGTGCAAACTCTCTCTCCCAAACGAAAAAGTGTTCTTCTAACATTTCAGGAAGCAATAACTAACCGTTTTACAGAGGAGAAGGAACAAATTTTACTAGATTCACAAGGAGCACATTTAGAAGTTTTCCCAAGCTCAGTGCACCTCAAACACACAGAATGGATTTTATATTCACTACACCATAATGAGACACCATTCAATTTAGAACTATTAGAATCAGAGAATCATAGAACATTCTGAGTCGGATGGGACTCACAAGGATCACCAAGTCCAACTCCTGGCTCCACACAGCTCCACCCAAAAATCAGAGAAGGCCTTACACTTACAACAAAATTAAAGTTGCTTGAGTTTATATGGTCAAACTCCCAGGTCCCATCTATCAAGTGAGTTGAATGGAAATGGAGTACCACACCATCTTCCATCAGCTGAGAATTAGGCTGTTAACATCATCCAGTAACACAAGCTACACATTTTTCCTCCATCCAGCTGGAGTATAATTAAATCAGTGCATAAACCATAGATTCTTATGATGCAGAACCCACAATGCTCTTAAGCATAAAAATATTAAACGACTGGCACACTGACTGACATATTACCTCCAAGTTATTACACAGTTCAATGGAGTATAGTGCAGAGATTTGCTGCGCTACTACTGACTAGTTTGCATAACATCCTGTAAATACTCAACCCTAAAATATCTAATTTCTAGCTTAAGCTTTCAACCATTGCATCCTGCTATACCCTTATTTTCCACATTAAAGGCGAAATACTCTTATCTTCTGTGACTTTGAGCAATGTACTGTTCCATGTACTCTTCCTGATATGAACAACTCAGAGTAAGGATGGCAGGAGAAAACACTGAACTGTTTCTGCAAGTTCACAGCTGTCACTTCCCATGAAATGTAAAGAATCCATCCCATGAAATATTACTGGTCCACTGAGTCTGACAGAAACACCTGGTATAAGCTAAAGTATAATCATATATTTTTTTCTATTTTACATGGGAACAAATTTTAATTAGGAAGATATTAATTTATTCCATTCACTGAAATGAGCTAAAAAGGGGCATACTGGCCACAAGCAAATACTACCAAATTTCTAGTCCTACTGAAGTGAGTAACAATAACATATCAGGTTTGTGCAATTTGTATTGCCTATTTGTATTTCCATAGTAAAGCTGTCAATTAAGATTTGTAATTCTCTGTAACAACTTCCTCAGACAGATCTCCCTCTTACTCATTTGAGATATACTTTACCATAAAAGCGTAATTTGACACAAATATTTAAACAGTAGAAATAATACTGATGGGTATAAAAGCTACAGTGAATGGATTAGCACAGAACAACATATACCTTATCATTTAAGGTGTATTTAATCATTTATTTTTACCTTTCAGTCACTTATGTCTACAGTTAAGATCAATATTTAGGTCAGCAAGTTTTAAACTCAGCCCAACAGCCACCAGCTCAGCCGCTCAGGTATGTACCCGTCCTTGTCTCTCTTTAAGTTAGACGTAAAGCAAGTGCCTAAGGTTTAAAGCAGCTTCTCTTTGGCTTCCAATAGCATTAGTCTTACTGATTCAAAGTATGAATTTGAGGCTTATTTCAGAAATAATGAAATACATTAAAGTGTATGTAACAACCTACTTCAGTTACAAGTATTTCTAGTAAGTTCTGAACACATAAGAATGCTTTAAATGAAAACTTACCTTAAATTGTAGTACACCTTTTACTACATTAGTGAATTTAGTATCATTTTCTGTATTACTTTAACCATTTTATGTCATAATAGACATGTCTTTGTTCAAGAGCTATTGTCTTAAGGCAACGATTATCACCAGATGTACGATAATTCTGTCTCAGTTTTCAAGGTTCATTATAAGAAAGACAAAGATGAAGGAAAATGGGGCATTCTGCACATTATTATCCTTTTGTAGCCACTGAACCACACAGAGGACCTAGACTGTGACTGTGACTTTATTTGATAACTAGACATCACATAAAAAATGACCTCTGGAGTCAGAGATTCACCACTGTTGTTGAATGACAAGCATCATCCCCATGGAATGATATCAACTGAATACTGTCAACCAAGGAAAGTAAACTCTAATATAGAAAATTATTTCCCATTGACACAGGCTGCAAAGCTTGGCTCTTTTCTGACTTCTTTGTTTTTGAAACATCTTATTTCAGTGTCAGAGTCTCATGAAAGAAAAGCAGACAGCAATATTAAAAGGTTGGTACAGCAGAAGAAAACATAATGGATCACATCCTCAAATGATGTCAATGGATACAACGCTGTGGAATAAGATGAATGGTGAGCATTTATATCATGTGAAGATCCAGTTCTATTTTAATATCCATTAATTCTCATATCAAAGTGCTGTGGCCAATCAGCCAACAAATTTTCAGTGTTATCTCTCTTCCCCCATGACGAACTCTCACATTGCATGTACTGTTTATTTGCTTATGCTCTCAAGAAATTACTACTTCCTTATTTTATAAAGAACAAAATGACCCTAAAGAATAATGTCATCTATTAAAATGGAACTAACCTTTGATCCTTAGTATATTAGCTGGGAAGACTCAAGTTTTACTGTCCTTGGGACTAGGAGGCATTTCACATATTGAATTTCTAGTGAAAAATGTTTCAAGCAAAAAAAAACACACAGTTTTTCAATTGCATAAATACAGATACATTTGCTCCACTACAGAGACACGAACTAATATCCAGTAAAACACTTAAAAAAATATTAAACAGTATTATGATTAATCAGGAAAAAAGTTTTCTCTATTATTAATTTTAAATATATAAAATTGTTCCAAATATTGAACATTTGGATTTTTTCTCTATTTTTTTCCTCAAATTTTTGTTTTTTGTTTCGTTGATTAATAGTGCTACTGGATTTATGTCTTTCATAGTGCTCAGAAAAAGCACCTTTCAAATAGAAATTCATTAGTTCATATTCAGATAACCCTAGAGAAGATAAGTTGGGAAAATCTTCTGATTTTGCACAAAGCAGAACTTACTAAAAAGAACCATAGAAGTCAGAAGTGGGATCTCTTTTCCAGACTTTGGGTGGAAGTTGCTTTCCTTTAATTTATCAACATTCCTTTCCTTCAGTTTATTGCCTTACGCCTTTATTTAATCTCTCCAGTTCCTCGTTCTCTTTGCTGTAGGCCACATTTGTGCTAACGACACGATGATGGACAAGAGCATTAAAGTTGTCACAACTGGCAGGTGCGAATGCTTTTGACGTGAAGGCATCTTTGGCCCCTCCAGTGTAAACGTTCTATTTAATTGCACAAGGCAGTGCAATCTATGTGAAAGATGCTCCTTGCCATCAACGCCCATATAGTACACGGAGCATTTTCAGGCATTCATGATATGCAGGGAAAACTACAAATTAAGACAACTGGAAACTACCTTAAAACTGCTCTTAATTATTTTGGTGGGGAGGAGGAATCATTTACCCACCTTCCTCACATTTAAATTCCCTGCTTTCAGTTTACAAGCACTGCTGATTTGACCAAGTCTGCATCTTAACTCTTTTTTCCACTCTGCCACTCTTTTTTCCACTATGTTCAGCACGTATAATGCTTCTAAAGAATGTTTATCTTTCCATTTGTCAAAGAACTATATAAACATGCAGTTTAAATATATTTTTCACCATTTATTTTTGCTGGTCTTCCTACCACGATAGCTACATGATAATTTGGTATAATGTAACTTCCATCTCAAAGACCTTTCAAAAACAGATGCAAATGTCAAATAATCCAAAGGAAACAAGAGACTTTCTTCTCTTGTGTTCCTTAATTTAAAAGCCATTCCAAGAAGCTTAGCAGTTAGAAAACCAGTGGACTGTCTAATTCACACCAATGTTCCTTGCACCTGTAACCTCCACAGTCAAAGCAACATACATTTTCATAGCAACTACTAGATTTCCTTTCTTCGTGCTGGAGGATATTTGTGAAGGCCATGTCCACCGATCCCATTTTCAAATCCCTCCCTGTGCTTTTAGAAACAATTCTTGATTAATGCCAAGCTAGGTACCAGTTGCCTGTACCAACGTGTTTGAACTAGTCAATTTTTTTTTTCCTTTATGTTGCCAGTACACCTTAATCCTCAGTGCTAAGAGTTAAGCCTCGAGCTGAGAATGAGGATGCCTACATGAGTTATTACTTTGCAAATAAACACTTATTTCCTTCAGAGTGAATGCATGCTCTCACAGCTTTGTGTGTGCCTGTGTCACATGCTATTATTCAATATTAATCAAGGATGTTTCAGGAAGGCAAAACAAGTTATTTGTCATGACAGATTTTCAACAATTGCATTACCAGCAGCTTTTTTTTTTCCCTACATGAAGTTTCTCAGATAAGAGACATGTCTGCTTTATTTTTTGCTAAAATAGAGGGTGAAGGCATTGTTATTTCCTATGTAGTGCAATAGACATAGTAAAACAGTCTTGAAATGCTAGCACCATTAAAGAAAGTATACAACTCACTGAGGAAATGTAGATGCTGCTTCACAAAGTCAAATCTGAACCAAGTGTTCTAGTTTGGTTCAGGGTAGGAACTCCTCACTCTTAAACGTGCCCTTTGGCTAATTATTGTAATGAGAGTTTTCACCCAGCTTGTCTGAAACAGAAGATCAACTTATCTTTGAACATGGGGACAATGAGCGAATGGGCTCATCAGTCAGAGGAAAGGTTATTTTTGTGCAAGGGAAAATGATAGCTAAAAATAATTAAAAAATGAAATCCCAAAGGGACTCTGAAGTACTTCAGTACTTGTACCAGAGGCATGGGCATCAATAATTAGAACAATGTTTTCAGTATATAGGATTTTATCTCACATTGCACAGTGCAAAAAAAAAAAAAAAGAAAAAATTAAGACTGTTCCAAGCCAAGCATAAGCCCAAATTTACTATGCTACCTTTCCTTTATTTCATTTAGATATGTAATTACATTGTATGTTTCTAGACATGCCAACTCTAAACATTGGCACAACCACAGGTGGACAACGTTAATGGAATAACTGAACTTTTTTTTTGGTGTGTTGTTTTTTACAAAAAGGATATTTTTTCAGCATGTATAGAGTAGCCAGTCTTGAAGCTCGAAAGTTGGCTCTGACAGATCGATAAACAGCTTTCCGGAGACCAATAAGATGTTGACTAGGATGTTGTCCAGCTTTATTAAATGGGCAAGCGGCACTGACCCTGTCAAGCAAACTTGAAAAGTAAAATGTGATACAACTGTACAGATGTCCTAAAGTATTTTTAAAGACAGTACATCAATTTTCTTATTCCATTACTTAGAAACCTTTTCAAATTGCTCAGTAGCTATGACAGCAAAAAGAAAATAAAAAAAATCTGTCATATCAATGACTTATTTAATCAAAATCTTAAAATAAGCAGATAGGACTCCTCAATAGGCAGCCTGATTCCATTCTCATCTGAGCCATGGTAAAACTCCTGAGGACATTTGTCTTCTCCAAAGTGTTCAAAATGAATATACTAAACGTAAGCAGGCCACAACATTATTTCTGATACAAAACTGTTACATGCCCAGTATAAGTTTTGGAAATTTTAACATGCAGATATTTAACATACACCTCTTTATACACAAATTTGCTCTTTAAACTATTTTTGCAGAAAAAATGTGCTACTATTTTTTGTTTTCCATGTAAAAAACTATTTTCTTTCAAGCCATCCCTGCAGAATTCTTCTCTAGGTCAACAGAAATATTATTTAAGTGGGGAACTAGCTTTTACCAATTGTGCAATGAATGACAGCAGTGTTTTGTGGAAGCCAAGACAGGTAAACACATGAAATATATATAATTAAATCAGCAAATTTGAAAATACGATTTGGTATTCATATATTCAGGTGAATATACAATTTAAAAGAAACTATGACACTTACTTATTTGACTATACTTCAAAATAGCTCTAGAATTGTAGGAAATTGCCTAATCTGGAAATAAACTGAATTGTGAATTGCATAAACATTAAGTGTGTTCATGTAACACTAAGCTGTAGATAAAGGAAAAAGATACTTAGTTACTTCTGTTCATGCACAGTCTTGATGCCAAACCTATGACTGCAATACTGAAAATAGTGGACAGTTCACCCTCTCTACCTTCTGGCACTGTTTTTACTAGAACCAGCTTAGAAATGGACACAGTGTGGTCAGTAAGTGACGAATTGTTTGGGGACTGGAGCCTGCTTCTGCTCTCACCTTGCTCAGATTGCTCAGGCAACAAGGTAATTTCACATCTTCAGTCACATAAAAGGGAATAGCATAGTGGGTACCTAGAAAGACGAGCATGCTCATGCACTGGTAACTATTTTATCTAGCTTATTTCCATCTTAACAAACAGAGAGAGAAATATAGAGGAAAAAATAGCTGTGGAAAACAACGTAAGGCTGAATCTGCAGACCCGGGTTTCCTATAGCACAGTTTAGCTAAGTACAGCTAGCCAAAATCTGGACTCAATCTTATTTAACCGTCAGCTTCAGTATCCTTCCATTCATGACACAGTTAACTGCACAGTCCAGACTCTGCTAAGCTAGCAGTATATTCAAACAGCAGCATACGCATCATGGAATGGGTGCTGTGCTACCTGCTTGAAAAACCCATTCTTTCCAAGATGTAAAACAACATACTCATTAACTTTTCAGGTGTAACCATTTCTACTGCCAGTAAGATTTTCCCTGAACAAGCATCAAGACTTTGACAAGGTTACCACTGGTGAACATACCAAACTGAGTTCTTCTAAGATTTGTTGTAAGCGAAATTCAGGAAAAGAAGAAAGGAGAGCTAGTTTTTTTGGATCATACATGAAGCATTTTGTCAAGCAAAGAACTTCATGGTGCTCTGTGCAGCAGCATCTCTTACATATATGGATGCAGAAAAGGACACTCTGGAGTTCGAACTTCATCCAAACTAAAACAAACCCAAACCTCTGTGACTCTGACTTCTTCATACTGGACAATTATTCCAATGAGATTGCTGACACAGGCTGACTTCTCCCACTCATCCATACTCCATCTTTTGAAAAGCTTGCCAGAGTTTTAAGTAAAGGGGCTGAGATCAAGCACCAGCTTAAAGACCAGTCTGGTTTTTGTTAATCTGTTATCTAAGATATGTAGTAAAAGAACAAGGCACCAGCAATTTTGACACTGACCACAAGTTCGTTTGCTTAAACTTAGGAAAAAATCCAAATGTTTTCTCATCTGTAATTTGGACAAGCCCTAACAATAATTTCTTTTAAGAACCCATTTGCAAAGATAAGACTGCCTATTGCTTAACTATATGTTTCTTCAGAAAATAAAACGAAAAAAAACATAGCTAGGCAGACTGAAGATGTGCTTATGCATTCCAAAGGGAGAATAAAACAAGTATGCTTCTACAAAGCATACTGAAAGCATCTCAAGCTCGAAAATTAATTCAAAATGCAAAGTCTACAGTTTCAATCTTGCATGTACCAACATGTACCTGAGAACAGAGCAGCTGGTCTAGCAGGAACAAACAACTTTGTGGTGCACAGAACTTTTTATTGGTTTTAGAAAAAGTCAGATGGATTTTAGTTGCTGGCATTTCCCACCTACTTTAACCTTATGTCTAACTGACACAGGCACATTTCTAGCAATAGGTTGCTACCACAGAAAAGGATAGCTGGCTGAGAACAGGTCTGTTGGTTTTGGGGTCATTGCACACACTGAACACGTGCTATGTCCTTTCACACAGAAAAAAAAAATAAATAACCCAAATAGTTAAATTACCTAAAGAGTTAAATAACTAGGAAAACCTTCATAACTTAAGTGGACAGGAGGCAAATTCAAGAGGAAATTAAGACTCTAAACGTCTTAACAATTGTATGCAAGAATGGAAAGGTATTGCAATTTTTTTTTTTTTAGGTGGGAAATGACCTCTGGATAGTCTTTGCTGATTGCTGGTTCTCATTACTTCAGACTGTTCTTTGATAATTTTCATGTAATCTTGTTTTCTAAAAGAAGAATGATTAATTGCATATTTACATGGACTTGATCATTTAAAGTACAAAAAACCCTTAAGCAAACAGCCTCTCAAATAATCCCCCCAAATGGCTAATTAAATTGGTGCAAGGTACTTAATATATTTCATGGCCAGCACTGCAAGAGACTTTCAAAGTCATAGATGCCCAGTTCAGATTTGTGACACTTCATTCTCCTTCAGAATGAATAGTTTTAACAATGGGTAGTTAGAATTCATACTTTTATGTTGGTGAACATAACTGTAATTATACTATTTAATGCAAATGAAAAGTTTTCAGTAATATGCTTTCCGGCAATTTCACTTGTGAAAGTGTTCTAGGAGACAGTGCAATGAGACTATTTTTAAACAACATATGGCTTGAATGGATCAATTTATTAAAGTGAAATGTGGACTCACAGGGTAAATCCTCTGGAAATTACTTCAGTCTCTTGAATGAGTCGTAGAGCTTTTCTCACAAGATTAGTAAAAGCTCGACTATTTGCCACTGTTTCTTCCAGCTGGACACAGTATTTTCGCAGGGACATTTGCAGCTTGGCTGTCCTCCATGTGCCCCACACTCGAAAGATTGCATACACAAGCAGAACTAGTCCCCACGGCAGCCACGATGATTCCTTCCACCATGAAGGAAGCATAAGCAGTGCACTTACAAAGGCAAGCAACAGCGAGACATCCCTGCAAACAGAGAAAGTAATATCAGCCGTAGATTCCTGAGGCCAAACAGGTGGGAAGTACATGTAGGTTTCTTAAGCAAGCTGTAAACACCAAAAAAGCCAGCTTTTTCGTGGTATGAGTAGACGAGTAATTTACCACTCTGAAAGGTCAGTTTATCTTACACACATGACTTAAAAACAACCACACAACCAAAAAACTGACTACTCAGCATTATAAGCCTGGGTGGGTAGGAACAGGAATATCTGTATTTCCAGGTTCAAAAGTGCAGTAGGAAAGGGCATGCTTTTTTTTTTTTTTTTTTTTTTTTTTGGTAACAAAACCCTCAAGTAATACCAGCTTTATTTTTTCCAGTTTCTGACTTATTTAACTTGGACACCAACAGACCACTAGTTTTTAACACGTTTTTATAAAATGGCTTGAATAATCATTTTAAAAGATTTGGCAGCTTTTGAAAATCCTTAAAAACCAGAGTCACTAGTATCTCATTTCAGTTATTTCTCAAGGACATTTTCAAATCCTCTGTTATTTTCACCTAGAAAAATTCTACAGAAAAGTGACTCTTAGAATATAAAGTGTCTCATATGTAGTATTATAGTTGCAGTTTTGTAAAATTATGACAGTCTTCACAGAGATGGATGGGATATGGGCATGGAGACTTCAATTTTTTCCAGAGTTTTTAAAAGAAAAAATATTGGTTTTCCCCTTGAAAGCTTTTCAGAAATTTTCTGAATTTCAGAAATTTTTTAAGTGTTCTTTATAATCTGAACAGTTAACGAAACAATGAATAGTGTTAGGACCAAGACAAACCACCGGAGTAAGGTGCTTTAAAAGTTCTTGTTTGACAGGGAACATCAGTAATGACATAATACATCTTAATAATTCCATCTATTTTCCTAACATATGGATGAAAACATACCACTTGCTTGTGTCATGAGAGATTGTTACCTCCTGATTCCCACCCATTTCTGAGTGACCCTTTCAGACTACCCATCATTCTTGTTATTTTTCAAATACAGGTGCTAGGTGTTTAGACATTGCTGCAGCTAGCTCCTTCAGCATTCTAGGGTGAATTTCACCAGCCTCTTCTAACCTGAATGCATTGTATTTAAATATTCTGTAGTCTGTTCTAGTATTCTACAGCTAATTCTAATTGCCCCCCATACAATTAAAGTGCTTCATAAAGACCGCAGTGAAAGACACACTTTCCAATTCAGTCTACACAATCATGTCTCATTTCTCAAAATCATCACTGTATAGCTTTAGAAATTGATGAGTTCAGCCATGTTACTTTTTCCTCATGGCAAGTTTGCAAGTATCCATTTATGTTTATGTAGCTATCTCAGATTAAAACTCACTCTTTCAATAAAATGCCTGAGGCAAAAATATGCTTATCTATGAATGTGGGGACTAGTGGACTCAAAGACCTGAGGAAAAAAACAAACACAAAACCAATTACTATATTGCTACATTTTATGTAAAGAACACACAACGTATTTTTTTTCGGTTTAACAGTGAATACAGTTGTAGGTACTCTCTGTACAATACCAAATATTAGGAGTTGCTAGGGAGCGTAGTGTTGGAAGCCGTCCATGTTCCTGTTGCTTACACTGCCCCGCAGACAGGATACTCGGGTCAAGGAACTCAATCAGTTCCACATCCTCCTGCAGCAGAACTTCCTGTTGCAGGATGGTACGGAGTGTGTCAAATCGAAATCCGACATCCTTACCACAAACGGGCAGGAGAAAAAAACAGGTATTAGTAAAGAACATGCAAACTCTTAAAATTAAGTTATTAGAACAAGGAAAATACCCAGACACTCCACACTTCACTGACAGCTCTCTCTTCCTGAAGATTACAAAAATATTTCAGATATATCAGCAGTAGACTCCTCACTTTTTTTAAGCTTGTTAAAATTTAAAAATTCATTTACTACCTAACAATTCAGCCTTGCAGGGTGTATTGCTCTGATCCTAGACAGTAACAATATTTGGTAAAATGCTACAAGTTATGCCAATACATTTGCAAAAGGATTGGAAAGGTATCATATCTATTAGAAGATCTTCAATAAAACAGAAATTTTTTTGTCATGACATAATTTAGGTCATTAACAAAACAAATAAATTATAAAAGGAGAGATTACGGCTCAGTCAACAAAAAGTCACCTGTGGACATTTAATAGGGTCAGTGTGCTGGACTCAATGCTGCTTTGACCCAACCAAAGCTGTGAGTCCTCTCCTGCAGGATTCTGTGACCCAAGAGAGCTCAATCCAAACATGAAACAGTGTGGGCCTCTGGAGATTTCACACTTATGGAACTTCAGGCAAACTTCAGGGAGTTACTTAGTCATGGATGTGATACTATGATAAACGTCTGCTATTTTTCCCCTACTGTAACAGCGCTTCAAGGCAATATGCAGATCTTGAAGACATATAAATAAATCAGAGAAGACCCCCTGAAATATTAATCTGCATATTGCACCAAGCTATAATTACAGAACACTTCATATTGAGAGTGTTCTAACAAAACCCCAAAATGAGCATGTGCATCTTTGCATCTAACTAGCCTGAAGGACGTAGAGTATTTTTGTAAAACCCTCTAATAAAAGCTTTTAACAGAAGTTTGAAATTTCACAGTACAGAGATTATTTATGAAACTTTAGCTAGTCAAATGTTTAATTCCATACATTGATGTTACTCCAGATAACTTGCATTCTACATTTAGTAAAAAACATTGTTTCAGAGCTGTGTTCAAGAGGAAACTCTGCCCTTCTCCAACACATCCTGTGTCACTTCGGTACCCTGCTGTAGAATGCAGCAGGAGAAACATGCTTTTCACATTCTTCAGTTGTGTCTCCCTCTCAAGAAATTAAAGCTAAAGAAAGCTTTGAAGATAATACCTTTGATTCACAGAGAAACAGAGAGAAAGAAAAAAGATAACCCAAGATCAGTAATGATAGGTTTCAGAGGAAATTTTGTCTTCTTGAAATAAGGGAGAAGTAATAGCAATTGGACTCACTAGAATTCTCTTAGAAATCCCTAACTTACCAGCCCCCCAACTACATATAAAGGCATTGTCTTTATATCAGAGTAGAAAAAATTTAAACTTCTAACTTTTAGAACTTTCTGGAACAGTCTAAAATGTCTTTTTCAAGCAAGACTAGGAACCTGAAACAGCTGGATGCTAATTAAAGCAGATCTCGACCAACCCCAGGCTAGAGACTGAATTGGCTAGAACGTGGTGCTGCAGAGAACAGGTCTAACACAGCATAAAACTATTTTTACCTAACTGGGGTAGAACTATCACCCTTCAGTTCTACCCCACACATGCTGCCTTGGGCTCTAAAAGTTCCTTGTATGTTCTAGGAGTAGGACAATAAAACTTCAGGTGAGGCAGGTGGAGATGGACACCCAATCTGATTCTGAAGTGTGGGCATACAGGTAATGCAGAGCCTGCTCTTGCCTCTTCAACAGACAGACTGCTACAAAGATGTCATCTGCTAATGCACGACATTGTTTTGAAGCATTATAATGGTGTTGCCTTAGCTTGCTTTGCTTTTCCCAAATGGAAAAGCACTGTGGAAAGTGCAGAGACATAATACATAACCCAGGATAGGTCCAGGGGTGGTAGAGCTGCAGAAGCAGGTGCTATGCCTGAGCTAACAAGGTGAAAAAGGTGGTGAAGCAACAATCAGATGAAGCTCTAGAGCCTTCCGTCTAAAGCTGTGTCTGCAAGTCACTGGACTGCCACTTGGGGACTTTCTGTCTCTGCAGTAGCCTTCCACTGAATGGGGTAGATACAATGTAGATTAACAACTTTTAGCTTTCAAGAATTTCTTTAATTTCTCATAATCTCTTCCATGTTTTGAATATCTTCAAGCTAACTACTGATATTTTTTCTTTTTGGGCTGTGACCAACTTGCCCGGCACCCTGACTCTGAAAACTAGAAGCAATATTACCAAAAGAGTAAGTAAAACACTTAGAACATTAAAAAAAAAAAAAAAAAAAAAAAAAAAAAGAGAGAGAGACTAAAGATGGTGCTTGGAGGAGAAGGTACAAAGGAGGCAAAGTGCTGTGGATTAGGAAAGAAAATTTAAAAAATAAAAAAAAGTAATCACTTACCAGTCTGTGAAGTATGTCATCATCTTTCTTATATTGTGGAAAAGGAAACCAACTTCTGAAGAACTCAACTAGTTTTGACAGGATGCCTTGCTGAAGGGAACAGAAATTATTTCATTAAAAAAAAAAAGAAGAAAGAAAAAAAATAAATAACAGACAGACAATTCTTTTATTTGTGCATCTGCTTTCCTTGTTAACTCAAACACACGTACCTGTAAGGAAGTTTCGCTTATTCTATTTGGCCTAACTTCAGAGTATGCTAAGGGAACATCTGCTTCCGCTCAGTTTGCCTGTACACAAGGCTGTGAAATAAAGCTTCATTAACCCCACCTATTCAGAGTGTGATGGATTGTTATGCTATAATGTTAAAAATAAATCCAGCTAGAATTTGTTTGATCTCAGGTTGGCAGCTACTGCATCAACGTGAAAGATTTTATCTCTTCTTAAGCATAACAAAAAAGCAGTGAAGTTAAATGGCTGACAGACTGAACAGAAGGAAAAGACTGGGAGAGGAACAACCTCTCCTTGGAGGACCACCACAGCTTGAGGACAAGACTCTGAAGGACGAGTGAACAGAGACAGGGAAGAGTGATGGCAGGAAAAGGAACCGTGTCAGAAGCGCACTGTCACGGCAGCACTTGCAGTCAGATACTTCTCTCTCCACGCTGCTTCCCATGCAACCTAAACCCACACTTTGATCTGAGCTGCAAACCTAACTTTGAACATCGCTAATTAGAGGGACTTGCTGTCATCACACATTTTACTCACATATCCTCCGTAAAGACGATGCATGAAAGATCATAATTAAGTAGATGCATGATTTTGCTTCACTCGGCAGTCATTTCATGGAAAAGGCAGAGTTTTTGACAGACATTGTACTAGCCTACTTTCCTCAGACTGCATTGACAGGAAGTATTTTTCAAAGGATTTACTTACATCTATTTAATGAATTCTGGGGCCCTACCTCTTAATCTTCAAACTGCTGAGACACATTACCATTAACTGAAATATATACCTGAATTTATGAAGGATGTTAAAATTGAATCATCTTCTTCCTTTTCTCTCACTCTCTTTTTTAAGAAAAAGAAGTGTAGAATTGAAATTTACTACATACAGCTGAAAGGTTGCTCTTCCCCTGAGGAACTGGTGCTGAGCTTCTGGCCTCTGGGTTTCCAGGTACAAACTGTTCCAATACAAGCTACAGAAATGCTCCCTTGCTTCTCAAAGCTGCTTGAGAAGAGCAACACAAATTTCTCCAATAAGCTCCTAACTCTATGGTTGGGAAAGGAAGAGTAAAACCAAACACACCTATTGAGCTGTGTGGTTAGCCCTGTGATTAGTCGGACCAGCAAGTGGAGGCAGGGACAGCCAGACCCATCAGTGTAACAGCCCTTTGAGAGGCTGCACAGCAGAAGTTTGATGCACAGTCAGGGCAGAAGGGCTTTGAACAACACCAGAAATTGTCCTTGTAAAGCCTTTATGCTTCACAGAGCATTAGGTAACCCAACTCAAGTTTTTCTTTGCATGTGCTTCATCTTCCTGTAGACAATTAGAGTTACAGACCTATGCAAACTGATAACATGGGCCCCGTAACGATACTTCTGCCCAGTACACAGGTATCGCTGTGGCTTGGTAAGAGGGGCTGTCCCAGCAATCCGCATGTTTCAGCCTACAGGATAATACAGATGAGGTTGTGAAGCACATTAGAGAATATGCTTTCACGTGCAATATTGGACAAGCTATCAAACAATAAGAGGGCCTGTTTCTACACTATTTTCTATCATTACTATCAGTAGTGCTGGTAAAAGCAAGATTCACCCCTGCTGTATGGGCAAAGATTCTGAAGTTGCTCAAGGACACTGACGTCTGAAGAGGAGAAGGGTCACAAACTGCAGCAGTAGATTATCTTCCAAGGAAGCGTTTCTTGTAAAGTGGTGCAAAACAAAATGATCTGACTACAATTTGTGGAATCAACAGAAGTCCTTGCCCTACATTTGAGTTCAGACAAAGTATTCGTCTCAGTACAGTGAAGTGTAAAAGAAGTTGATCATTTACTGTTTACAGTGATGCCTCTTGGAGCCTATCATTTGCAGCTGCTTAGCCTTCTCAAGTTCTTTAGTTTTTAGCATAAGAATTTAAATCTGTATCAAAGACAGCTTTAAAATGCTACCAGCTGACTAAGCCTGATTATGAAAGCATTGAAAAAAGGCAGACTAATGTGCTATGTAAGTAATTGTTTGGTCAATTTGTTATGTTTTCGTTTAAAAATAAAAAGTATGAGCTTGCATAAATGCTCACCAGGCATGTCAGTGCTTGAAAACACAAAACAAGACATCCCACTGTCTTGGGCTGTGACCCAGTAGAGTGCAGTAACACATTCAATTATTCAGATCCTTGGAGTAGTGTCTCACAGCCTGCACTCCCATTGGGAGTGTTACTGACAAGTAAAACAACTTTCATCAACACACAAGTCGAGTCATGTTGTCACTGCTTCTGGAGTATCACTTTTACAGCTTTAGAACACAAGTCAGTCAAATGAATCCTCTTAATAAGCTTACTAAATAACTATAATTATTATATTTAATTATGATTATAATAATTATTAATTAACAGAATTAAGCTTAATAATAAAGATATATAATGCCTAACATTAATAGAAAATAGCACAGGACACAAACATTTTAGGTACATTCATTTGAACCTAAAATAAAATACTTAAGAATGTTTCTCTTCTGCACAGGTTGAACTCAAAATGGCAAATCAGCAGGTATCTGAAATACCATCAGTCACGTTGGCACCTTTCAGTTCTGTGCACTTCAGAAAGATGCCAGTACAAAGTATTACTGAGGATAGCCTCAGCACAATCCTAAGTATCTGCCTCCAGCACCAGTCTTGTTCTAGTGATGAATTATTATCACATCTGAGCTGGGATGAGGTGTGACAGTAAAATCAAGTTAGACACTCAGATATGCACAGCAGCCTAGGAAAATGAGTGAGAAAGGAAAAATATAAATGCAAAGAAATCCACTCCTTGAAGATCAAGCAGAATTATACAAATAATTCTGGATTTAATTCCAGAAAACAGGTCTAGGAGCTCTTTCAAACAGTACCCTTGAGTATCAAGTCCTCGTGAGATGAGAATGTTAGCTGTAACTCTATCCAGAGATCAGTACAGCTAGGAGCACTGAAGCCTATAATTACCATGCTAAATCACATCTCTACACTCCCTCAGCCCTCAGCACACACTCTTGAAGCACCTCTCTTCAGCTTTTCTGCTCAATGTTCATTAAGACCATGCTCTCATTAAGAAAACAAAACAAAAATAACCAACCAACCAAAAAACTAATTAAGATGTGCTTCAGGTTCAGCTGCTGCCTTTATCGTTCATTAAGCCTGAACAACACGCTCTGCTTGGCGGGAGAGCAAAACACAGCAGCAATGTTTGTAGCAGTTCTGAGGAACCTCTTTATCTTCCAGATTTGTTTTTCCAGTCCATGAAGATCCCAAACGAGATCTTTGCCTTGCCAAAATACGTCACAAGATTGTATCTGCGCAGGGTTCCTACTTGACTGAATATAAGAGGAGTAAACAACTGCAACTCAAAGACAAAGCTATACTGCAACTTTCCTAAAGTGAGTCTTCCACCATAAGCCAGTAGACAGCCTAGAAAAAAATAGTATTTTACTTTTCTCTTCAGAAACATATTTGTCTCCTTTTCTAGCCAGAACAAATCCTATATCTACTAGAATGGGATGAAATTGGAAAAATAAAGCAGAATCGGATGTTCCCTTAAAGAGCTAAGCAACCACCTTTTTGAAAAAAATGAGTATCATTTTAGAAGCCAAGTTGTTTCGGATCCAGTAGAAAACTTAGAGTGATAGATGGACCATGATAACCTAAGAAAGCCAGAACTCTCTTTGTAAAATGTAGTCCAGAGCAGGTGTGTAAACATTAAAATATCTTTTAAATTAATGAAGTGTTTGAGGCATTTGTAAACTTACTTTTCAAAACAGAAGGAAAACGATACATACATACCAGGCATCACTCAACATGGATCATCATCTACTCCCTGTGATTATGTTATTTGCATTACACTAAGCCTCAGCTAAATCGTTTTACATTAGGACTTTGGGTAGGTACATATTCAGAACTTGGAAACCATTTGTTTCCCAGACATTTTATAATTTCATCAAACTAGATCAGCAAAGGGTGAGAGAAGGGAAGTGATAATAGTCCAATGTGAAAATGAGGAAATGATTGCATGGGAATTTCAAAGATTTGCCTATACCTCTTACAGAAGTTTTAACAAATTCTCAGATCCTCCTTAATCCAGTCTACTTCTTTAAACATGTGGCCAGCTGTCTCTCCCCCATTCTCTTTCCTTTTGAGATACCTTACCAAAATGACACGCGAACAGAAATCAAAGGACAAAACCAGACTTTCTGACATTAGGTTACAAAAGTGTTACTGTTCCCAAACTACTACTTGATCAACAGCAGGAAGAGCCAATAGCATTTTCTCATTACAAATTACACACAGGTTTCTTCCTTTTTCCCACCCCATATCCTTGTCTAGACTGAGATGAGACAGTGTGAATGTCATGCTAGTGCTTTGTAAGACGTGCAGCCCATTTTCACACACCCTCTGGTGACGCAATACCAGAGGGCTTCCTCCCAAAGCAATAAAATTAACAGTAAGATGCTTGAGAGGAATGGAAGGGGAAAAACAGAACACTTATGACTTTTAAAAGCAGTGTATCTTCATGCTTTTAAGGTTCTTATCCCCACAGCACTTTTGTATTAAATTCAGAAGAAATTATATACATGAACACAGCATCATACTGCTTTACTGATTTCTACAAAAGTGAATAGTCAAAATAAAGTAATGCAGCTAACAAATGGTACTCCAGGCATTACATCATAGTAACAAACAAATAATCCATCAATGAAATATGTCACCCTGATTTTCAAATAACATCTGTTTAATTAAAGCCTTCCTGGACTAAGCCAGAATAGGTATGTTCAATGTAAATGTCCCAAAAAACTGCCAATAGCTCTAAAGGCAAAATATACTTTCAGTTGTTTTCTTGATGTTTGTCGTGACTGCCAGCTGACGATTCTGAAAAGTAAAGGTAGTGGGCGTATAATTTCCAGGAATTTTTTTCAAGCTAGTTTAAATCAAATTTTGAGTTTAAACCTGAATTAGATTAAGCCTTGCTTCATGAACACTGATAGAAGCAACCATTGTTACTAATGTACTAGATATCCACATCAATAGTAATTAGAAGTCAATTTATCCATTACATTAAAAAAAAAAAAATCTTGCATTAGTGAAACCATTCAATGAAGTGGGAGATGCTGCATCCCCTTCCCAGCTCCAGTTCACAGGCTAGACACTTAGTGGTACTCACAGGTCTGCTCAACGGATTGTGCACCCCGTACCTCATCTACTTGGCCATCCTTCATCAGAGGATGGGGCACGAAAGAAGGGAGACATGGTACACTTCCTCGGGACTACCTAGTCTTAGAAATCGGGTTTCAAGGATGTGAAGCAAAGTATGTAGTGCACCTGGCCCACCGGGTAAACACAAACCATGATCAATCTATCCATGAAAAAAGGCTCCAACAGGAGTGAAGACCAAAATAAAATGTTTCCTGTTTTACTACCCTGCCCTTTCAGAATAATGAGTATGTGAGGAAGGTTATATAGTCTATGCAGATAGTAGTAAAATGGATATCAGTTATACGAAAATAGGATACACCAACACTTCTCAGAATACTGCTAGATGAATAAGCTTCACACTGCAGCTTCTAAATTTCCACTTCTAAGACTGTACATGCCAGTCCTTGCAAGTATACCATACTTTATAAACAGTTTGATAACTACACATTCTTTCCCCAGATCAGGAAAAAAAACATTATCCACATCAACTCACACACTTCTGAATCCTACCCCACCTAACACCCCACACAGAGCAGAACAGATTAAAAAACCCATGATAGAAAAATGCATCTGACCTAAAACAAAGGTGGAGCATGGAGGACATGTTCAAAACTGATTTGTTGTTGTTAAAATAAATCCTAACAAATTGTGAATATTATTTGGCTAATTCCTTGAAGCATCTTGAGAACTATTTGAAACAAGATCCTAAGAAAAGTGTCAGCTCACCTCATTTTCCACACAATCCCCCACGCACCACAACCTTCAGGAAAAGGGAGACCTTCTGGAGATCTCAGGGCCACTCCTATCACACTGCCTGTGTTTGAGAAATACAGGATGCTCCCCAATTCACTGCCTGCTAAGAGGAAGGGTGGAACACTTGTGGAGCAGGGAAGCAACAGAGGTTATAAATGAGAGGGAAAAGGTTGTGAACCTCTGATCTAAAGGTGGCTAAAGAGGTATAAAGCAGGAAGGAACATCAAGAAAACTGCTCTGAAGAAGGCTAAAAGCCACAGCAGGTGAGAATCAGATAGCCTAAGATGCAGCAATGGTACAGTGAAGCTACAGTAAATGGTGGGGTGAGGGGAGAAAGAAATGCTAATTCTTCAAAGACATCACCAAATCAGCCTACAAATGCTTGTTTTGGGCTCTTACCGAAGAGGTACTGCTCAACACCCCCCCACTGCCCCAGCCTCCAGTGGCCAGGACAGAGAAGTCTGCATAGAGCCTCTTTTTTTCCTCCTGGCTTAGCATCTAACTAGAGCACGTCCACTGAGAAATTAATTCTACACTGCGGAAAAAAAAAAGAGGTAGGCAGAAAATAACTGCTCTTAGCATGCTCCATCTAGGTGATAAGGAGAAGACACATTGACTACTGCATTTTCTAAAACTTCCCCTTTTAGAACCAGCAAAGAGATTCCTACATCAGGTGCCTCAGACGAGGAATTCCCTCACCCACACCGCAGTTCCTCAGCTGAGTCACGCAGCCTATACGCTATCTGTGTGTATACTACGGTAATATTTTAGTAGCCATGTAGCTCTTAAATCTCAAGCACACTTTTAATACAAAAAAATATTGTAAGAATCGACAAGCCTTTACTTAAAATAACAGAGAAATAAGAAGTCTGAGCTAATGAATTAGCTGAGCCTTGTCAGCTGTTACTGATACAAAATTGCTATAACTACAATTCTACTATCTTGTTCAGACTGGTTTTTGTATTTATACTTCCCAGAAATCATCTTCCTTAATTTTTTGTCACATAATAAGTGATATTTAGGAAGTGAATGCCTGAGGTGGGCTGACAACTCTATAAATATTTTGTTCCAGAAGATTACAGGTTTTGTTCACAGAATGTAATGCTAAGTTTACAGTAACAGTATCCAGTAAATACAATTACTTACAAATTTTAAAAAAATCATTATCAAAATGTTGTTTCCTCAGCTCTCATAGAAGCAAAGAAACACTTCAAACTATACTGGAAGACCATAAATTTCCAAACGTATTTGTAGACAACACATGACAGCACTGTTATTGTTAAATTATTATTATCATCATCATTATTAACAATAATAATGGTTATTATTACAGTAAGAGTTTCACCTTTATCCCATTATTATTATTATTGTTGTTATTATTGTTATTATTGTAAAAGTTTCACCTTTACCCCATCCAATTTTGCCTACTGACAAAGCAATGCAGTTCTCTTTTGAGAAGACAAATACTACGGAACAGGAGAACACTCACTTTCTGGACAACATGCACAGTCCGCTCTTTCTGGCCTTCCTCTACTGCACATTGCTTTGCCTTCTGCGACACAGAGGAACATACTTCAAAATCTGTGTGTCCCAAATCCTGCAGATATTGGTAGAGTGGTGAATTCTGAAAGAAAGTCAAAAAAAGAAAAAATTGAAACAAACAAACATAAACTCAAAAACAAAAACCAAGGGTAAACAACATTCCCTATTTACCAAAGAACGTGACTACAGGATGCCGAAGCACTGTCAAACCACGCGATCAGCAATGTGGTATGCAACAGGAAAAAAAGAACATAGTATCACAGTAACAGCAAAGAAGACAAATTCTTGCTTTAAATATCTTTCAGGTTTTATCTTAACCATAATAAAAGAGTTGCAAGAGAGTCAATATATGATACTGTGATGAGAAATAAGTATGCAACTAACCAGCTTTTCCTACAGTAATGTATTTTCCACATTACTTGACTTGTTTTTAGCTTATAACTTACATGTAAGCAATAAATAAACCAAGTATTCGGCAGTATTTTTAGTATATATTTTTAGTATATATTTTAAAATATTTTTGTGTGACTCCAAAACACTTGATGACACTAGTTTCCTAAAGTTTATAAAAATTTAATACTTTGTACAGCTTCTAGAGAAACAAACTTTACAACTAGAGCACTTTTAAAACTCCAATAAATGAAGCCTCAGTATAACCTGATGAGGGACCTATGGAGTGCTTTACAGAAACAAGAAAGTAAACCAGAGAATGGCTTCTGCTCTATTTGAAGTCAACATTAGCACTTTTCATAGCCAACTCTCACAGTTATCAAAATAAATAAATACATTAATTAAAAATTAAACTAAATATGAACTAAATTAAAACCAACTTTTTAAAGTTGCTGGCAAGGCTACTAACTCAGAAAGAGTCCTTAATGAAACTTCTTAGAGAAAGTAAGAGATTCTCATTACCATAACATGAATTTTCACATCTTTAGGCTTTTGAATTTTCTTTCCATCATTATCAGATTTCTAGATTTACTTAGCCATTATTTGCTGACATCCATATATACAGCAATATCTGTGACAGAATTGGCAGAAAGGATATTTATGCTAAATCTAGTTCTACCCAGGAGATGTAAAAGGACTTCTTTTCTTTTCTATTACTTTGTAATTCTGAAAAAACATTATCAACACTCCCACACTAGTATGCAAACACCAGAGAACTGCATAGGAAGAACATAAATATTTTAATTATTATAATTTACTATTAGTGAGACAACAAAAATATTGAAAGTTAAAAAAGGAAAAGCTTTATAAAAATGAGCACACAATTGTGGAGGTTTGCAGAAACACTGACCAGTAGTATATCAACTACAAATCATTACATTAGCTAACATTAACTCGCTGATGTGAGTTGTGAAAAAGGCATCTACCATGACCATGTACCAGCATGGCCACATCTCAAGTGTCTGCTTGCCATACAGTAAGACTTTGAAGCAATCATTGATTTGAGCTTAACAAATGAATTTGTTACTGTTAAGGTTATTTTTTTTTTTAATTCTATCAACAATGTGTTCTTTGGATCGCTCTTGCCTATCTAAAGCGTGCAAATGCACTTTTGCATGCTCCCCATGGGTAACTAACTCAGAACAGATTCAGAGGCCACTCATTACCTGAAACTCAAACATTCATGCCAACTCACGGTGCTGCAGGTCCAGACAGTCCCCTCACCCACAGTGACAGGGATTGTGCAAAGCACTACGCTACATTAATGACTCATTTCCTTGGGGGAATTTGCCAGTGTGACACCACAATCCTATCTTTTTCCCAAGTGTCCTTCCCCAATGGTCAAATACTTTTTCAAATGTATCATTAAACGATGCACCCTAATTGAATAATGCACTGCTCTGGACTGGCTGTAGGGACGCTATGTTTCTCTCTAAGTAGAACATGTCTCTTTACCAGAACTACTAAATAGAAAAGAAAAAGGAAACATAATAGGCTAGAACACTTCTTTTATTTACACCAGAGGCGTAATGGTTTGTATCAGGAACCGTGTAGCCAGCAGGAGCAGGGAGGTGATCGTCCCCCTGTACTCTGCTCTGGTGAGGCCGCACCTTGAGTGCTGTGCTCAGCTTTGGGCCCCTCACTACAAGAAGGACATCGAGGCCATGGAGTGTGTCCAGAGCAGGGCTACGAAGCTGGTGAAGGGCCTGGAGCACAAATCCTGTGGGGAGCAGCTGCGGGAACTGAGATTGTTTAGTCTGGGGAAGAGAAGGCTCAGGGGAGATCTCATTGCTCTCTACAGCTACCTGAAAGGAAGGTGTGGGGAGCTGGGGGTCGGCCTCTTCTCACAGGTAACTAGTGATAGGACTAGAGGGAATGGCCTCAAGTTGTGACAAGGGATGTTTAGGTTGGAAATTTAGAGACATTTCTTCTCAGAAAGAGCAGTCAGGCATTGGGAAGGGTTGCCCAGGGAGGTGGTGGAGTCACCATCCCTGGGGGTGTTTAAGGAAAGGTTGGATGTGGTGCTTAGGGACATGGTTTAGTGGATTATATGGGTTTTAGGGGGACAGTTGGACCAGATGATCTTGGAGGTCTTTTCCAACCTTAATGATTCAATGATTGTTACATTACCTCAATAACTTCAGGACAAAGTTATTTTGAATGACCCGAAATTGAATGGACATGCATAACCACGTCTTCTTAAAATGGTCTCCATACAGCAGCAGGCTGCATACTGCCAGCATACCCAAACTATTCAAACCTGCACACACAAATGGTTCTTGAAGTAGCATAGAGGTTTCAGACAGAAACAGACCAAATTTTCCCATTTTAGACAAAGGTGTGTAGACAAAACTCTGGGGAATTACAGGCCTGTCAGCCTGACCTTGGTAACAGCATCACACAGCACATGCAGGACAACTGAGAGATCAGAAGCAGCCAGCACGGTTTTAAGGTCTGATCTGATTAATGTCTGGTCATGTCTGATTAATCCAATCTCCTTCTATGACAAGATGACCCACTGAGTAATGAAGGAAAGGCCGTGGATGTTGTCTGCCTTGATGTTAGTGTTTGACCCCACCTCCCAGACTATTCTCCCAAAGAAATTGCTGCAGTTCACTGTCTGGATGGCTGGGCTCAGACTCACAGTGGATGGAGTTCACCCCATTAGCAACCAGTCACCAGTGGAACTCCGCCAGGCTTCCCCCAGGCTCAGGCTTGGGACCAGTTCTGTTTAACATCTTTATCAAACAGTATGAGGGAATCGAGTGCACCCTCAGTAAGCTTGCAGACGATACCAAGCTGGGTGGCACTGTTGATCTGGCTGAGGGCAGGAAAGCTTTGCAGAGGGATCTGGATAGGCCGGATCGATGGGCCGAGGCCAATCCCATGACATTCAACAAGGCCAAGTGCAGGGGCTGTGCCTGGGTCATAAAACTCCCATGCCACAATACAGGCTTGGGGAATAGTGGCTGGCAAGCTGCCTCACAGAAAAGCACCAGGAGGTGCAGGTCAACAGCCAGCTGAACGTGAGCAGTGTGCCCAGGTAGCCCAGAAGGCCAACGGCAGCCTGACCTGCACCAGCAGCAGTGTGGCCAGCAGCACTAGGGAAGTGGTTGTCCTCTCGTATGTGGCACTGGTGAGACTGCACCTCAAATACGTGTTTGGTTTTGGGCCCCTCACTACAAGAAGGATATTGAGTTCCTGGAATGTGTGCAGAGTAGCAAAGCTGGTAAGGGACTAGAAACCTAGAGTTATGAGGAGCAACTGGGGGAACTGGGAGTGTTTAGTCTGGAGGAGGCTGAAGGGAAACCTCATCACCTACAACTACCTGAAAGGAGGTTGCAGTAAGGAGGGTGTCAGCCTCTTTTCTCATGTGACAACTGACAGAATTGCACCAGAGGAGGTTTAGATTGGACATGAGGAAGAATTTCTTCACAGAGAGGGTGGTCAAACATTGGAATGGGCTGTCCAGGGAGGTGTTGGGCTTGTCATCCCTGGAGGTATTTAAGAGACGCATGGACATGGCACTGAGGGACAGGGTTTAGTGATGGGACTTGGTAGGTCAGGTTGATGGTTGGATTTGATGATCTTAAAGGTCTTTTCCAACCTATACAATTCTATGAAAACAGCGGATAAACACAGAATATTTTATTCAAAATCAAAGTTTTGATGCTCGCTCCAGTCAAGACTCCAAGGAAATTGCCTCCAGGTTCCTGGCAGACTTGTCCAAGGGGTAGAACATCTTCAGATCCTAACGGCAGGACACAGCTACCTCCTTTTATCTGTCCAGGGGCTGGAGACCTTTGCCTCCCCCAGCTCAGTCACACAGGCATAAGTATTTCCTTGTTACAGCTAGTAGAGATGAGACCAGAACACCAACTTCACCACTGCGTGGCCTGAGCAGCTTCCTCTGTGATGGTGTAGTGTGGTGCTTCAACCCTGCTGTGCAGGGGAACTCCACCTCAACCATTCTCTCACTCCCTCTCCTCAAAGCAAATGAGGAAGAAAATACGATGGAAAGGGCTCAAGGGTTGAGATAAGGACAGGGAGATCACTCAGCAACTAACGTCATGGGCAGAGTCAGCATAGGGAGATTAAAATAATTTACTGCCTATTACTAGCACACGAGAACAGTGAGAAACTAAAAGCAAACTGAAAACACTTTCTCCCAATCTACCCTCTTCTACCTCCTCCCCCTGAGCAGTGCAGAGGAATGGGGGCTGCAGTCAGTCCCTAACACTTCATGGTTACTCTCTGCCCCTGCTCCACGTGGGGACCCTCCCATGGGATACCATCCTTCCCTAACTGATCCTTGGGGAGCTTCCCACAGGCAGCAGCTCTTTACAACTGCTCTCTGATCTGATATGGGGCAGCTTTTGGACTCTTCTCACAGAAGCCACTCTTGCACCTCCCCTGCTACCAAACCCTTGCCACATAAACACAATACAGATGGGAAGTTCAAAAACAATTTGCTTTAATCTGAAAACAAACAAACAAAATGTTTTAATGGCTCTTTCACCTTAATAACCTGGAAATCCTGCTTTTTTCTGTCTCCAGTTATGACAATTATCTTGTTACTCATACTTGTTACAAGCATAACCAATCATCTTGATCATACTTGTCACAAGCAAG